GTCCACTTCGGTTCAGACCAGTTCCTTGTTTAAGTCCAGTTAATGGTTTGAGCGTAGATATGTAATCCTCCATTTGGAAATGAGTCCAATGAGTTTTAAAAAGTAAAACAAAACGCGTGTGTCCTCCATAAACTCCTCTGTTTTGCTAGCTGCAGCCACCGCGGTAAAGTGGGCCGCATCTTTCACCTCCGAAGTAAAACGGCCCGCAACGAGAGAAAAACAGTGCGCGTTTTGTTGACTACTTACGGTAATAGCGGAACAGCCTTTCGGAGTCACCTTTTCTCCTCGAACAGAAAGCGCGCTGAGGAGATTCGTTTTTGTAAATAAACCCATATTTGGAAAGCATTTAATTTGGTCAAAAAGTGAAATTTTCAGCAGCTGTCCATTTTTACAGTAAAGACTTGTGTGGCTTATTCCACTGGGTTCATGACCTTGATATAGCTGTCTTCAACGCTGTGCCTACAACCACACCTTTACTGTGGAAATGTTGGGTAAAATTGAGACAAAGTACACTTTAGTGCAAAATACACAAAACTGTAAAAACATTCCCGCTTTTGATCTACTGTAACTATTTACTGTAAAAAGGTGTGTGACTCATTTCAATGGATTTATGTCCTCATTATTATGTTCTACCACTGTGCCAAAGACCAGAAACGTTTACTGTGGACATTTGGAGAAATATGGAGTTAAAGTAGCCATTTTGGTTCAAAGTAGCCAAAAAATTGTCAAAAAATGTCATTTTTGATCTGCTGTAACTTTTTACCGTAAAAAGGTGTGCGACTAATTTCACTGGATTCATGACCTCATGATTGCCCTCTACCACTGTACCAGAGACCAGAAACTTTTACTGTAGAAATATTGATTTAAACTAGCCATTTTGGTCCAAAATAAACTTAAAATGGTCAAAACATGTCATTTTTGATCTGCTGTAACTTTTTACTGTAAAAAGGTGTGCGACTAATTTCACTGGATTCATGACCTCATGGTTGCCCTCTACCACTGTACCAAAGACCAGGAACTTTTACTGTAGAAATATTGAGAAATATTTATTTAAAGTAGCCATTTTGGTCCAAAATTGCCTAAAAATGGTCAAAACATGTCACTTTTGGTCTACTGTAACTTTTATTGTGGAAATTTTGAGAAATAATTAGTCAAAGTACTCCCTTGGTAAAAAATACACAAAAGGGGCTACGGCCCCTATTGTCGACAAGCGGAGGCTCTGCTCCGAGCTCCTTCCGTGTGACTGAGCTCCTCAACCTATCTCTAAAGGTGCTTTCAGACCAATAGCTTCAAAACGCTTTTGACGCGCAATATTTGACGCTGGGTCCGGTGTGAACGCCCCTTGGTGCTTGAAGCTCCTGACGCCGGGTGGGAGGAGCTTCTCTCGCTCCCGCCTGGAGCTCGCACTGATTCCCGCGGAGGAGCGCCTGTCTTTCAGTCTGCTGTGTCTGAGCCAGCTTTAGCTTGTTCTTATACTAAATAAATTACTTTAACTTCACAGCATATGTACATTGATTGTGTTACTTACTTTTTAAGAACGTTACTATTCATACAAATAATATTACAAATAACAATAATGACAATGAAATATCAGTAGCAGCTGCTCCTCGTCTCCAGATTGGTTGAAGCCCGGCTTCAAGCTCCAAAAGCTTTTCTCAACTTCGGCGTTAAGGGACTTTTTTATGACAAAAGAGACGCAAGCATTACGCGTGTCAAAAGCTTCAAGTGACGCGCATAATGCTTGCGTCTTTTGAAGCGCTTCAAGTGACGCCGGGCCTCTCAGCGTCACCTGACGCGCTTCACTATTCATTTTCAGTGCAAAACTGACGCTTTTCAAGTCTAAGTTGAGTCCGGGGTGAAAACACCTAAAGGGAGTGCCCAACCACTCTTTCCCACCGCTTGTATCTACAATCTCGTTCTTTCGATCATTATCCAAAGCTCATGACCAGAGGTGATGGAGGGAACAAGAATTGACCGGTAAATCAAAAGTGGCCGCATCACGGCGCACGATGCACCAATCCACCTGTCAATCTCACGCTTCATCCTTCCGTCACTCGTGAACAAGACCCCGAGATACTTGAACTCCTCCACGTGAGGAAGGACCTCTCCACTTTGGCGGCACGGTGGCTGAGTGGATAGCACTCTCGCTTCTCAGCAAGAAGGTCCTGGGTTCGAATCCCAGTCGGAACAGTGCCTTATGAGTGGAGTTTGCATGTTCCCCGTGTCTGCATAGGTTTCCTCCGGGTGCTCCGGTTTCCCCTACCACTAAAAACATGCTCAATAGGTATTAATGGATAATGAAGATTGGGGGCTGATCAGTGGGGGCGGGTCCCGGCTCGAAAGTGGCCAAAATGATGCGCTGACATGCTTGCAATACCACCCCGGGGGTGGACCCGGAATAAGAATTAGCCAATGCTAACGTAAGCATTGGCAGACCTCTCGAAAAGGATGGTCCAAAAGTTGGCTCTTGGCCCAAAGCTCCGTTCCACATGTGTGTCAATGCTGAGGGGGGTGAATTTTTTTGGACCACTCTACTTTACTCGCTGTGAATTTTTTAAGTCTCTCGTTCAAATGAATGGAGCTTGCGCCGGCTGACGCATGCGCAGATGCTTTTTTTTCCGCTATATAATTTTTTTTTATATATATAAATGCGCTATATAAATAATCATTACTCATTAATCATTACTCATTACTCGAGAGGGCAAGGCACCTTTTTCCGGTCAGGCATCATGGCCTCGGATTTGGAGGTGCTGATTCTCATCCCAGCCGCTTCACACTTGTCTGCAACCGTCCCAGTGCATGTTGCAGGTCCTGGTTCCTTGGAGCCAACAGGACAACATCGTCGGCAAACAGCAGAGATGAAATCCTGTGGTCTCCGAACCGGACCCCCTCCGACCCCTGGCTGCACCTACAAATTCTGTCCATTATGACAGTAAACAGAAGCGGTGAAAAAGGGCAGCCTGCACCTGCCGGCAATGCAAATACAGCTCTGGTAGAGGACAATAATGAAGTCATGAATCCAGTGAAATTAGTCGCACACCTTTTTACAGTAAAAAGTTACAGTAGATCAAAAGTGACATGTTTTGACTATTTTGGAGGTATTTTGGACCAAAATGGCTACTTTAAATCAATATTTCTCAATATTTCTACAGTAAAAGTTTCTGGTCTTTGGTACAGTGGTAGAGGGCAATCGTGAGGTCATGAATCCAGTGAAATTAGTCGCACACCTTTTTACAGTAAAAAGTTACAGTAGATCAAAAGTGACATGTTTTGACCATTTTTAGGCTATTTTGGACCCAAATGGCTACTTTAAATAAATATTTCTCAATATTTCTACAGTAAAAGTTTCTGGTCTTTGGTACAGTGGTAGAGGGCAATAATAAGGATATGAGTCAAGTGAAATTAGTCGCACACCTTTTTACAGTAAAAAGTTACAATACTTGAAAATTGCACTAGCGGACCAAATTGTGTACTTTATATATGTAAACAATAGAGTGGCTATCCTCCTGAGGACTCACAATCTGCAGGAGGAATCGTAGGGGGCTGGTGCTATGTGTACCGGGTGGCATCTCTATAAGGTTTTAATCACAAAAACGTGTCTCCCTGACCCCAGCGCGCTTTCTGTTTGATAAAAATGGGTGACTCCGAAAGGATGTTCCGCTGTTACCGTAAGTTCTCAAAGAAACGCGCACCGTATTTTCCCCGATGCGGGCCGCTTGTTCATAGAGCTGTAAGATGCGGGCCACTTTACCGCGGTCTGCAGCCGGGTGCATCCAATTTCTAAAACCAACGTCTTACACTTCACCTCTCTTTCTTATCATTCCTATAGTAATTGAAAAATTACCCTATGTGCATTTTAAATTATCTTAAAATGTGTTATATGTATGTTAGCCAAACCTGTTGCTGTCCTTAGCAGATAAACCAGGAAGAGAAAGGAGCTTATCGATGGAATTGTATGCAGCCGACTTCTGCGCTCACATGAGCTCCTCTGAGGCTGGCCTCACGGTGATAGAAGCCGTAGTTGAGCGTGATTAGGACCCATATTTGTTTCAAAAACACAATTTATGACCATCCTCTCAACTGTAGACATGTAGATTGTAAAGGAAATATGTTTTACATCAGCCAATAATTGCTGAGAGGTTTTCTCATCCTCCCTTCTCTCATGACAACATGTTCATTGTGCGTCTTGAGTAACGCGCAGTAACGGGATGTCGGAAATGATAACGGCGTTATAGTTAATGTCAAAGTAATTAGTTAGATTACTCGTTACTGAAAAAAGTAACGGCGTTAGTAACGCCGTTACGTTAGTAACGCCGTTACTAATAACGCCGTTATTCCCATCACTGCTCGTAAGATCATATCAGTATGCACTGTTTGCATTGACGCCACAGAATAGTAATAATAACACATCAAACGTATTTATAACGTGTTATTGCACAGTCAAAGCAATAAGACTCCAAAATTATAGTTTTGAGTTTTGAACGGTCAAAACAATACCAGCATATGTTCAAAATAACATGATTTAAGACATATGCCCTAAAAGCTTTTCTGCTGAAACACTTGATCTTTGGAAGTGACTTTGGAAACACTGTACACTTCCAAGATTGTGGAATTTTCTTCTTGATCATTTTACCTGTTGTTTTTATAAACAGTACATTATTACTTATCCATTCATCAGATATTTCTGCTGCTATTTTTTAAACTAATGTTATTCTGCTCATATTCTCTGCGGCTAAAGTACAATTTAAACATCTGTAAATACCTCCGAACCAAGTGCAAGTATAGCTCCAGAGTTCTATTTTATTATATATTACTTATCATTCTATTCTTGTAATTCTATGATCTTAAGTAATAGATCCTGTTTGCTGTGTGCAATATGAGTGCTCTTATTTCCTTCTTTATATTCTGCTGTAATTTACGCAACTATGACGTTCAAATTTCCCCAGACGTATAAAGAACTATCTTATCTTGTGAATTTGTTTTAGGTGTGCCAAGCAAAGATGCACAACTCAAAATGCTCCCTTGAGGCCATCTCCAGTTTTGGGTCCAACATGTCCAGCGACTGCCCCGAATCCTCTCTACTCTGTGGAATGAACATCTCTCTGCTTCATAACGTCAGCCCTGCGCTCCTGGATGAGCTGTGTTTGAGTGAGAAGGAGTACCTGGCTCTCCACTTGGGGCCACTGCGATCTCCTCTCTTTGCTCCGGTCTGTATCACATACCTGAGCATCTTCCTGGTGGGCGTCGTGGGTAACTCCTTGACTTGTGCTGTCATTTTTCAGTACAAAGTCATGCAGACCCCCACAAACCTGTACTTATTGAGCCTCGCTCTGTCAGATTTGCTTGTGCTCCTCGTGGGGATGCCCTTGGAGTTGCTGGAGCTGTGGCAGAGCTACCCTTTCCCGTTAGGAGAGGCTGGGTGTTACTTCAAGACCTTTCTATTTGAGACCGTTTGCTTTGCATCGGTTCTCAATGTCACAGCCTTAAGTGTGGAGAGGTACATAGCAGTGGTGCATCCATTAAAAGTGAAGAGCCTTTCGACCCGGGCGCATGTGAAGAAGGTGATTGTTCTGCTCTGGGTCATGTCAATGGTCTGTGCCGTGCCCAACACGAGTCTGCACGGGATTCTCTTTCTGCCTCCCGTGTTCGGACGCCAATTTCCCCGTTCTGCAATGTGCTGTGAGTCATTTATCATACATTTTATTCAATAATCATGCCCAGATAGTAAACTATATGTCCATGAAAACAAATGAAAGCAAGGGTACCTAACCATTTTATCAAATAATTAAGAACACCAGTGACATGGATTTAAATACATGGTGTAGTTTAAAAATTGGTTTAGTAAGCTAAAAAACAAAACTATATTGGTTTTTAACTAATTTGTTCACATCCAGGTGACATAGACACAGGAGTTAAACAACCAAATCAAATCAAACAAATCAAATTTTGTGCAAATTAGCCAAAAAAAATCCCAATTGTTTTCCAAAAAGTGCAGCAAAATAGTTTGTTGCGCAGCACGTACACAGTTTAACCGATCACAATTCTGTGGATAACTTTAGATTCTACACGTGCATCTCCTCTTTCTTCTTGTAGATCTGGTGCAGCCCACTTGGATGTACAAGCTGACCATCCTGGTGACTGCGCTGGTCTTCTTCCTGCTCCCGGTACTGGTCATGGGGGTGCTGTACCTCCTGATCGGCCTCACGCTCTCCAGGGAGAGGACTCACTGCTCCACCACATCTGGTGCCATTAGCGTGTCCGAGGCCCACATGCAGAGGCTGAATAATCGCAATGTGCAAGTGACCAAAATGCTCTGTAAGAACCATCTCATTTCAGAAAACCTGTTCATCACAAAGCTCATTACTTTAATGAGTTGGGAAATGTGCATCCTTGAGTACCCTGGTGGCTGGCTCGTTTTTGCTTGGGTTAATAATACTAATAATAATGATACATAGGAACCCTCAATTTTGCTTAACAGGTAAAAAAAACAATACAATAAAAGTGCTACCTTAAAATACAGTAGCTATTAGACCTATATAGAACTAGGTGAGTTAAGACTGAGAGAATAAGTGAGTTTTGAACAAATCTCACCTGTTAATAACAAGTGTTATGTATTTATTGTTAATGTGAACTTCTTCTGCAGAACTTCTCATATGGGGATCATTAGAGTATCCATCCATCTATCTTTTGAAGTGAGATTTAAATAATCGGAAAGACTAAAATCAAACCCGTTTCCAGAAAGGGCCAGTGAGGCTGCAGGCTTTAGCTCCAACCTGCAGCTGTCCTGGTGGCGGTGTTCGGGGTGTGCTGGGTCCCCTTCCATGTGGACCGCCTCATGTGGAGCTTCCTCGACACCTCGTCCCAACTGCACCTCATGATATTTGAGCCGGTGCATGTGGTGTCGGGCGCCTTCTTCTACCTGAGCTCTGCGGTCAACCCGGTCCTCTACAGCCTCATGTCCACACGCTTCAGAGAAATGTTCAATCACCTGACCCGTCCACAACACAGCTGGCCCGACCGCTTCAGCTTCAGCCAGCGGAGCACTCTCAGCCAGAAGGCCTCCAGCACTTACAGGGGCCCACACAATACAGCATATCCACTGGACACATTTTCATTCATTTATCCTGCTTTTTGCCATTTGTCAACATGAGAACTCCCACACTCATCTCCTGTACATGCTTCATAACTTTTTCTCTTTCTATGTCTCATTTATTTGAAAAAGAGATAGTTTATTTATCTCAATGGGGCTATCCTTAAATAAATAAATAAATAAAATAAATAAAATAAATAAAATAAATAAATAAAATAAATAAAATAAATAAAATAAATAAAATAAATAAAATAAATAAAATAAATAAAATAAATAAAATAAATAAAATAAAATAAATGTATTTCTATGCCATTATATTTTTTAATGAAATCTTTTTACTTTTTAAATGTGAGTAGTTCATCTTCCACCTGACAATTGCAAGTGGCAGTTACCATGGCAACACAGTGATCACTGTCAGAAGTTAGCATTAGACTTTTTCTGTTGTGTTTTAGTTACAGCTATAATGACCAGTTTCAAAAGTTTTAGAAGTGAGTAAAATAAATAAAAAAAACCCCCCGTATAAACTACCTTCTTTTAATGAGTCTGGTGAAAATCTAATGGTTTGAATGGGAGCAGTCAAAATGACGGTACTGGGAGTTGTAGTAGTCTCAGGAATTGAGGGTCCTAGTGTTAACAAAATGGACAAAAATAAATTCACATATACAGTACAGGCCAAAAGTTTGGACACACTTTCTCATCCAATGAGTTTCCTTTCTTGTCATGACTATTGACTGTAGATTCACACCAGACTGTGTAAGGGCTATTTGACCAATACGGAGAGTGATGAGTGCTGGGCCAGATGACCTGGCCTCCACAGTCACCGGACCTGAACCCAATCCAGATGGTTTTGGGGTGAGCTGGACCACACAGTGAAGGCGAGAGTGCTAAGCATCTCTGGGAACTCCTTCAAGACTGTTGGAAGACCATTTCAGGTCAATACCTCTTGAAGCTCATCAAGAGAATGCCAAGAATACTCAAAGGAAAAGACATGCATATTTTCAGTTGTTTCATACTTTTTTTTAGTACATACATAATTCCAAATGAGTTAATTCATAGTTTTGATGCCTTCTGTGTGAATCTAAAATTTTCATAGTCATGAAAATAAAGAAATCTCTTTGATTGAGAAGGTGTGTCCAAACTTTTAGTCTGTACTGAATACATTAAAAATTGAAGGTTATTTTACAAAAAATACATGTAAAACTAGAATTTGCACTTTCACTAGGGAAATGAGTATAAACTTTATACTTCCTCAGAGATTTATTTGTATACATTTTTACATATTTTATTGTTAAAATGCAAAAAACTGGACCGGCAATGATACAGGATGCATTCTAAAAGGGGTGTAACATAGGCATGACAGACCTACACAGGCTGCAGTCCTTTGTGAAGTGAAGAAAATATTATGTTTTGTTGTTGATTTTGTGACATTGGTTTAGTTTCTACAATTTAGCTTTTTGTTATGAGCATTTTTCTCTATTCAAAATATAAAACATTAGATTTAACTATCAGATGTTGGTGTCAGGTCTGAATAAAATAAACGTGAATTATTATGCTTTCATCTGGCACAAACATTTAGATGTGACAACCTCAGGTTACCATGGCACCGCAGCATATTATTAGTCTAATGATTTTGACCTGTTTTAACAACGATTTTATGTTTACTTAATATCTTGCAGTTATTGTTGGTCAGGATTTATGTGAGCACCTGAAACAATATTTCTGCTGATTGAGTATAAAAAATAAGATTTTCTCAACTTCTTGAATTGGAGACTTTTTTTGATGGATAAGATATAGTTTATATTTATTATGTGTTACCTTTTCTAAGGTCCAAGATGGCACAAAAAGATTTTACTAATCCAAGAATATTTCTAAAGGACAATATTTATTTTCTGTTTGTATGGCTTTTTTAAAAAAAAAATCTGGGGCCGTATTCCTAAAGATTCTTAGTGCTAAAAGTTGCTCCTAGTGGCCAAATTCTAAGAATTTTCTCAGAATCTTGACCAACTCTTAGAATTTCCCCTAAAAGTGAGGAGTAGCTCCTAGTTAAGATAAAAGCTATTCCTAAAAAATCCTAGCTCTTAAGAGTGCTCTTAAGGGGAGATCCCTTAAGAGTTGAGAGGAGGACTTTTAGCGACTTAAAAGTTCCCTAAGAGCACAAAATGGTGGACGGTGGAGACAGGAGAAATATTCTATACACTGGATGACAGTGAATCAGTGAAACGCTACAGATTCAAGCAGGAATCATGTTTGTGGTATATTTAAAAGTCAATCATGTGACCAGCTTCTTATTGGCTGGTCAGCAATAACACCTCATCCATTTTACCTTTGTTACACAAAAGTAAGTAGAAATGGTAAAAGTTGAAAGAGAGGAAAAAGTGGTCCTAAATTGTCACACATTCAGTACGAATGAATGAATACTTTATTTTGAGCCATGGCAAACAAGAAAAAAAGGACAAAACAAACAAAACAACAACAGAATAGAAGTACAAATATACAGTTTTGTTTTATTAACAACAATCCAGCTCAAAAAGGAGTGGGAGAGGATAAGACTTTTAAGCTCCCTTGTACTTGATTTGTACAGTGTATGTATAATATGTTTATATTAATATTGTTTCCTTAATTCCTTATAAGTCTATACATATCACAGCCTTTACTAATCCTAACATTATCATTATCATCATTTATCCATATAATATTTATAATAATAATTTTCTTTATCATGTATATTATATATAGAGTAATATTTAAATTATATATATATATATATATATATATATATATATATATATATATATATATATAAAAAAAAAAAAAAAAAAAAAAGTCCACTCACCTTTGGCCCTCCGCGGGCGGTTATCCCTCTCTAAGCTCGGGTCCTCTACCAGAGGCCAGGGAGCTTGAGGGTTCTGCGCAGTATCTTTGCTGTTCCTAGCACTGCACATTTCTGGACCGAGATGTCCGAGGTTGTTCCGGGGATCCGCTGTAACCACTCATCTAGCTTCGGGGTCACTGCCCCGAGTGCACCGATCACCACGGGCACTACTGTCACCTTTACCCTCCAGGCCCTCTCCAGCTCCTCTCTCTCTCTATATATATATATATATATATATATATATATATATATAAAATTATAAGTGCTCATGATATATACGTATTATGTGTGATAAATTGGTGCTGAGCAAGCTCTGATGATGGTGTATAAGTCTAACTTTACTATTCACAGTATTTATGTACCATTGATATATCTGACTTTATAGCTTTTGGTTATTATTTACAATAACACAGTGTTCCTAAGATTAGATTCCATGATTGAGTTTGTCCATTTTAGGGCCCTTATTTTGCCTATTATCATCAAAAATATGTTTGTTCTAACTTTTAGGATCAACCAATCACAGCGTCTGAAATGATGACTCATACCTAGCAACGGGGTCGGCCACGCCTCCTCACTAAGATAAAAGTTGTTGTCAAGTCCTTGCTCAGAGTTCTCTAAGAGTGTTCTGGAATAACTTTTAAGCTAAGACTCCTAGCTAGGAGTTTTTAGGTTAAGATAAGAGCTCTCTGAGAGGACTCTCAGAATCTTTAGGAATACGGCCCATGTTTACTTTCCGTTTAGGCTTTAATTCCATGATTCTGGTGAGATTTCAAGATTAAATCGATTTCACTGAACAATCAACACAAAATACAAAACTGACAGGCATTCAAGTAAACAACAATGGATGTAGCATTTTCTTGGCTGCTGTAAATTTAGAAAGACTAAGAGCCTTCCTGACTGGTGTAGTGTAATAAATAAGTATTGGGAGTTTGTCTTTATTGTTCTTAACAGACATATATAGATATATTTATATATATATATATAGATATCTATATATATATATATATATAGATATATATCTATATAGTCTGTTAAAACATGGAACACCCAATATTTCTGCAATAAAGACAATTAAACATCATGTGACATTAAACCGCATTATCAACGTTGCCATGACAAGGAGCACCATAAAAAGTTTAATTTCGAAGGCACAGAGAAAGTAAAACATGGACGTATTCTGCTTGTATTGGTTGGTAGAGATATAAAGACTAAACACATGAACATTCTACTTCATTATTAAATAAAATCAACCAAGATTAAGTAAAACTGCATCAAGAGGTTCACGTGTCCTCATTGAAAAACAAAAGTTCAAAAGGAACATTTGTGAAGGGAGTGCTTGGGATGAGGGTGCTCTTAATTAAAAAATGTTGGTCCTTAATTAAGACACTTCACACTAGAATGTAAATATGGATTCCCTGAGGAAAAAAAAATCTATTAACATAAGAGCTGTTTGGGGCCAGACATACAAAAGTGGTATGAGTTTTTTTGTGTCTTTTGGCAAATTAATTGTATTTGAGTTTGGACATAATATTATTGTAGGTTTGGATTCAAAACAAATCTGCACTCATTGTTTTCCTGAGATAATAGGCTGTAAAATCAAGTAAAACATGCCATAGCAGCCGCTTACCACCAATGCTGCAAGTTACCGCGTTAAAGACAATTGAAAATAATTTCAGTTCGACATGCCTGGTGTAAAACATACAAATTCACATTCATAAAATACAGCACTTTCCATCTCGCTACATTTTGGCCCTGAACACCTCAGAAACTGAACCATCTACTGCATTTTAAAGAATGTTGAATCAAATACAATATTTAACTATGTAAAAACAGTATTGAAATAATAGTTACTGCATGCTACAGTACACAGTAGAAAAACCTCCTTACTTTTTTTCCCCCTCTGTTCTCCCTCTTTGAGTATATTTCTTAATGAAAGCATAAAAACAAGGCAATAATGTAACAAATTCTTTGAACACAGAAAGCAACATCACAAAGAAAAAAAACACCAAACAGAGCTTTACTCCCCTCCCATCCTCAGAGAATTCCCTTTATAATTCAAAGGTCTTTGGGGCGATACTTTTTCTCAAAACGGGCCACGTCAAACTTCCGCAGACAGCCTTTGTAGTTCATGAAACGAATCTTCCCAAAAATAGGTCTCTCGGCCCAGCCCTGGTCGTGGATGCCACAAATAGACCACATACAACCTGTAGCAGTATGAAGGAAAGTAAGAAATCTATCTATCTTAAAAATATCATTTTGTTTGTGGTTTTTCTCCACTTACCAACAAAACCGTTAGGGTCCTGCCCGTCCAGGGAATAGCGGTCATTCAAGTACAGAGCAATAGAGAGCGCCTCCTCTGGTGAACTGGTCCACTCCAAGATCTTTTTGGCCCAGTACATGCGAAGGAATCCATGCATCTTTCCCTCAGAAACCATTTGGAACTAGAGACATTAGGTTAGACAAATGTTGTACATTAATGAATTACAATATGGAAATATGGTACAAATGTTTTAACATTAACAATCAATGTGGATGCTTTTTTAATCGTATTTACGAACTAACCCTAACCCTAACCCGAAGTTGAGGTATTTTGAGATAGTACCTGAGCTCCGTTCCAAAGGTTGTCGTGTGTTTTGGCCTTCTCCAGCTGTTCCCGTGTGTACACATATGGTCTTTTGTCTTTGGCGTGATCTTTAAGAGTCTTCTGTGCCCACTCATAGGCTCCTGAAAACAAAAATCAGTATTAAGTCAATTATTCAGATCAAAAGTACCCTTGAGAATCCGAGTGATTCAATAGTGTAGATCAGGAGTCTGCAACCTATAGCTTGAGAGCCACCAGTAGCTCCCCGAAGGATTAACAAATTTACCACAAGATGCTATTACAATTTGAAGTCATTTCATATCTCTCCAAATGTTTACCGTATAAGTGCACAGATGCAAGGATAAACAAGGTTTGGTAGTATACAACCAAGGTTTGGTTGTATACAACCAAGGTTTGGTTGTATACTACATTTTCTGGTGTAGATAAACAGCACAACGTAATTCATTAAGTAATTTGAACAAACCCTTAACGCTGTCGTATTTCTTGTTGTAAAAGCAGAAGTTGTCTGTGAGTTCTCTGCGGACCACCAGCTCCTCGATGAAGGGAGCGACCGACTCTCCGCCTGCCGCCTTCACCTGCAGCGACACACGCTGTGCAGAGATCTGGCCTGTTGAACAAAAGAGGAAGTGAAGGAGCAAATAGAACAATGTATCTTCTTGAAACATCACTTAAACTAAATATTTTGGTTTACTTTAATATCCACAATAAATTGAATTAAACTTATTTTTGTACAGCCCTAAATCACATAAATTACAACACATTCATTTTGGAGGACTTCACAAAGTTGTTGTTTTGCCAACACAGATCAGAGAATCAACAGTTCAAAAATATGCAATGATAAAAACCCATATAGCCATTGGTCCATAGGCGGCGGATGACCAGCTGCTCATTGGACAGCATTAATAAAACTTTATCTAATGTTTGCAGTTGTTGAGTGTTGAGCCACAGACCGAATCGTATCCATGGTGACAGCTGACTCAGAGCAGCAGCGTTGGGGTCGTTGCGCTGGGATGAAAACAGTTTCAGACGAACATCAATGAAAGACTCCAGCATGGCCATCCCTGCCTTTGTCCCCGGTTTAGCCCACTCAGTTTCTCCCACGGCCTTGTCCACTTCTGCAGACGCCAGTACTTTGGACCAGTCCACCTGCTGTGAGGACAAACGTCGTCATCTTCATCAAAGCAGCAAGAATATAAAGAGTCACAAACCTATGAAAAGTATGCTGATATTAGGGCTGAACTCAGTGCCTCCATTTTTCTATTCAACACGAGGACTACAAGAATTCTGAAACTACTAGAACTCCTAGGGCCATCATTTTGACTTAAAATCAATAGAGTTCCGAGGAATTCTCCAAAAAATGGTTAGGTTTTACCTTAACTCACTTTAAATTAGTGCTAAAACTGGTGAATATATCTGCAACAGAGCAAAGAATAGTTTGATGAAAAGTGACCAAATACTAACTGCAAGTGTGTTGCTATGGAAACTAGCACTCACTCTGTTCTGGTGGAAAACCAAGCAGACATTTACCTTTTGGAGAAACCACTTACATTTCAAAAGTAAAATTTTACAAACAAATTATTAACTAAACAATGCATTACATGAAAACACAAACGTAAAAAACGGTTTGATTCCTGGTGCTAACAATAATACAATTCCACGTTCAAAATGACTGATGTCAACAACACATTTCTGGACTCACTTTGGATGTTCTCGTCGCTGTGTAGGGATGTTTCTCCAATAAAGGAAAGTCTGTGAGGAACTCTGGCAAAGCCTTGTTGATCTTTCCTCTAATTGTCCGTGCAGAATACTCCTGCTTGGGAGAAGCCTCCCAACAAGGCACAATATTGTGTGCATCCACCTACAATGACACACGGGTTTTTCAAAGGTTCATACATATACATTATATATATATATATATATATATATATATATATATATTATAAACACAAAGGTATCACTCATCTGTGGTTAATATATTTACCTGTATTAAAGGAATATCTTTTGGGATTTTCTTTTTAACATCCTCTAGCGACTGCAATGACTCTCTGAGAGGGGAGAAGTCAGTCACAATGGCCCCCAAACTGCGATCTGAGACAAAACCCGGAAGGACTTCCCCTGGTGGGCCGTGCAAGAGGTGGAACTCAACACCTACAGTTTTGAGCTCCTAGTTTTGGGAGAAAACAAAACACATTTAGAAGAGTAAAGGTTGTATTTATGAGCTAATTTATTCATGCAAACTATGATGTAGCAAAACTACAGATCAGGAAATGGGCAGGGAAGATCTATAGGTGTATAATAACCAGAATGGGCCCTACCTGTGAAACTTCCTCAAGGCCTTTTAACAAGAAGCTGAAATGCCTGTAAGTGGAAAGTTTAGATTTAGGGACCACCAGGCAGAAACAGACGTGAAGAGGGAGCTCTGCTTTCAGAGCGAGTCTTTGAGCGTGGATCAGAGCCCAGTTATCTGTAGACATACAAATAATAATATCAGGTATAGTACAGTATAATGAACCACAAAGCCACATACCTTGGACTCGTTGGTCTCTGTGCATCCAGTACAGGACGCCCTCAGCCCCCTGTTTTACTTTATCAGTATCTGTGAGATATCGGAGGCGTTTTTTGTTGAATTTATTGTCTTTGTGCTTTGTCCTTTGAAGCAGTACGCGGTCTTGAAGCCAGCCATCTGATTTCTTCTCTGACGAAATTTTAGAGATCTTCACCGGTTTCTCTGCGCCTGAACCAGTAGCCTTGCGTTTAGACATATTAGCTCTCCAATGAAACAAATGGAACTGTAGAGATGTGCAGTCTGCAAAGAACTTGGGCGATAATACAACTCTTCTCGGCACCGTGAGACAGAATCTGCAGTGAAATAGAATCACGTTAACGTCAGATTAGATGACGCTGAAAACAAAACAAAAACGCTAAATGAAGCATCGTGTGCAGCAAACAACAAGCTAAACAAACCGAATCAAATCAAGATACATTAAAATACTCACATGCTGATTGGAGTGCACAACATACAACAGCAGACTCGTGGTTTCTTATTCAATCGGTTACATGAACAGTTTTGTAACCAGCGAGTGTTTTTCCTTTACAGAACTACATTTCCCAGAATGAGTATGCGAAGCTAGACAGCGCATGCGTGAGGGGGAGGTGCTGCGTCTTGGTCACAGTCTGTCTGTATGGTCAATCACCTGTTTTACTTTTATTTACCTGTTTTAAGAACGAATTCAAGTTGCATTTATACCAGTATCGCCTAGACCCCAGCAGTTATGGACAAGGTCGACATGTCATTAGGTAGGACCATTAAATGAACGAAAACTCAATAATAACTCGTGTTAGCCCTAGCTATGGTGGCTGCTATATACAGTCTATGGTGGCTACGCAGAGCTTGTTTGCCGAAGTGTTTTGTTCTGTGCCATTGATGCTAACTCTTACAATTGTTTGTTTTATATTGTTTTGGCCAAAAGATGATATAATTCGTCTCAACAAGAAAACGCAGAAACTGAACAAGAAACAAGGACCCGTGAACCACAGACCAGTCAAGAAGAAAGGCCGTGTACTGCAAGGAAAAGTCAAGCCCAGAGCCGCTGCTGCTGCTGCTGCCAGTCAGAGAGGTAGTGGCATGCAGACATTACTCAAGGGCAGAGCGATGTTGGCAAAGTATTTGATTCTTTGTTAACATCGCGATTTATGAATGTCATACAAGTGTAAATCTATCCAGTGAGTAACCTGTGAGTGTTAGATTTGAGGGGGGAACCATCCACAGAGAAGCTCATTTTCAAATTGAGAGAATGAAATACAGGAGAAAAATGTAACTGAGCTTGCAATGCTTAAAATAGATAAATACTTTATTGATTTCTGTAGGAGAAATTCAGGTGTCTAGTATCAGCAGAAACACATGCATCCATACAAACAAAACAAATATATACTTAATAAAAAAGTGAAGGCATTTGTTCCACTGTAAATCCAAAAGCAATAGAAATCTATCTTTCTTCATTGATGTAAACAATCTTAGCATTATTGTGTCTTTGCTGGTGTTGTTTGTTTGCGATGGATCATAAATCACATACACGTTCAATGTAGTCTGTTCATTTGTAAACTGTGTATCCATATTTTTGTGAGCAGGAGCTTTACCGCAAAGAGCAGCTCTGAAACAGAACAACAGAAACTTCGGAGCTCGGAGACGGGGGCAGACTGCAGGAGTCGTCACAGGCCTGGCGTCCCGTAGGACAGGTGCACTTCTCAAACGACTGGGGACAATCAACAGGACAACAGGTGCTCAAGGAACACGCAGTCTCTTAACAGTGAGTGAAATTAATGCGGCTCGATCATTTTGAAGAGGATAATATTGTAACCAAAAACGTACAGCTTGTTTCTGTTTGATTTATAAAAATGATCTGGGTCATGTTTCACACATTTGTGGTGGGATGGAGTTGCCAAATATAGGAACAATCAGAAAATGTGAGGGTCTTTGAGCAGTTTTCTTAAATTTAACTACAGCAGTATTTCCCATCACTGTGGTATTGAACCAGGGCGCTGTCCTATGGCGACGACTGCTCCTGACTGAAGCCTTAGTGGCATCGGGATGGGTCAAATGCAGAGGACAAATTTCCCTACAGGGACAATTAGGTGCACATTTACATTTAGTCTGCTCTTAAAACTGGAATCTTTTAAATGTTGTCAAGCACAGTATTTGCATGCATTTGTATGATAGACAAATAATCCTATTCATTTTAGTTATTATTATTGGTATAATTTGGTGTGCCTTGGTACATATTTTTAGAGCGATGTGATTTGAAATTGTATTGTATATTTTGTAGGGCTGTCAAACGATTACAGCTTAAAAATTAATTCATCATAATTAATCGCATTTCGAACTATCGGCAAAATTATGCCATATTTTTCTGTAAATGCTTGTTTGAATGGAAAGATAAATGACACCATAGTGTACATATGTACTGTATTTGTTTTTTAAGATGATGGGGAAAAGTCTGAAATGCAGAATGTCATTAAATCTGTTTGATTTGCTCACAACATTTTACTTTTGGGCACAACCAACATGAATTGGTGGTGCAAGGGAAAAATAAAGTACCCAGCTTTAATTTAGCAAGTGCGCTTCGAGAGAAGACACGGAGGAGACTGAGGCTCCGTAGTCCGGCTTCAGAGGTGCATTTATTGCTTCATGCACAGGTTACGCAAAGACACGCACACAACAAGCAGAGAATAGTCCTTTGCGTTTGCGCCGTTCGCCGTGTTGTTGTCAAAGCTACAGCCGCTGGAGGTGGGAACCTCCTGGGTCAGAACGCTGCAGCCACGGAGGATGCAGACTCCCGTTCAGTTCATACAGCAAACAGCAAGTACCCGCAGTCATGCGCGTTTTCTTTTTAAGCTTGAATTCCCAGAGACCTGCTCTGTCGCCATCTCACACACGCATGTCTCCGCGGCATTCTGAGTGTTATTATGGCATGCATGGGCATTGTCATTCTGTACATGCGTCAATGCGTTAATTTTTTTAATGCAATTAATGAAAAATATTGATTAACGCAATCATTTTGACAGCCCTAATATTTTGTCAGAAATAAAAAATGGGTCTAAGTTTAGACTTGAGCTTGATATGAACAGATGATTCATTATACACCATCATAATGTTTCCTCTTTTTTTAGAGGGCAAAAACAAGACCTTTTACTCAAAATGCTGCTAGTACAAACCAGTACAGGAAATTTGAGAAGAAGATCCACCGACAGCCAGAACCTCAGCGCAGTCCTCAAACGGCAACAATCAAAAGACCTTTCCAGCTTCGTCGGAGGTATGAACTCGCTAGTGCCATTAAATTTTGTATTCTATATAAGGTCAATCAATAATGTGGATTTTCTGGTTCTGAATCTACCTCTGTTGCACCAAACCACTATGTTAAATTAAAGAAAAGGACAAGACTCACCGTGTTAAGAATTGGTGAGCACTGATAAGGATTTTAACATCACCTGCAAAAGTTTTCCATTCAATTTAATCTGAAGAGAAACCAATTTAAGAAACTCTCACAGAGATAACACTTGAAAAATGTAGAAGTTGCACTTTTCCATGTGTTAGTAACTTTTTAGTGATTTCTTAAGTTTTCTAGGTTAAGGCCTGAGGAGAGGTTTGGGTACAATGTGTGAAATACTAAAGATGTTCACTGAGTACTTTGTTCTATAGGATTTATTACACCACGTACATTTTGTTTGCAGTTAACCCCTTCACTTAGCCCATTTAAGAGACACATATGTGGTTCATGTTATTCAAAAGGGATTGCAGTTTTTGTATCTAATCACTCACTTTTTCACCACAGACCTCTGCCTTCACTCCAGTCTCAGAAAGACGCTCGTCAAGCCACTTACCTGTTCCACAGAGGACTCAAGGTACCAAATATAAACTCACATTTGTTTTCGCTCCCACCTTTCATGGGTCCTCAATCAAATATTATTTAAACATGTTTTAGTGAGCACTCTAAAATGTTCTTATCACTCGGCACAAAGCCACAGATGTTGCAAGTTTTGAGGGAGTGTACAGTTCAGTTTTTGTCGTTGGCTTGGCCTGATCAACTTATCGCTCAATAAGTAATAGATAAAACCATGTTTTTGGCCTCAGTAATTAATGTCTGTACATTTTCTTTTCAGCAGTAAAGGACAGATCTTTGCCATTTTCTTTTTAATGAAGTTTATGTTGTAGAGCAATGTCTCCCAAAGTGGTGTTCGCGGCCCACCGGGTATTGCAAGGGGGCCGCGGTAGGTAATCAAAAAAGAAAAAAATATTGTATATAATTATTGTATGTTAAATTAATATTTTGTTTGTAATATTAAAATAATTGTGTTCATTATTTGACTTGAATAATCAAATTGTAAGGAAAAGATAAAAGATCACATTTCTATAGTGCTTTTATACCTTTTTCAAGGCAGAAGTTTGAGTCCTGTCGGGTACAGGGCACGCTTTCCACCCACAGAGCGACTCCTGCCCAGTAGGTCCCACTTCCAGCAACAGCCATCACAGTGTTGCACTGTGTGAGGCAAATTGGGGCCACACCAGATACTGGTTTTATGACCACCCCAAAACAACTGTGTGGGCTTTTACTGTGATCAGTCTGTGCAGTATCCTTGCTGACTAATCAGCATCTTCGGGGAATGGACAGTCCTAATCAAAGAGGAAGTGCTCATTGAAACAAAATTAGCCAGATTTGAACTGATGAAATATGAGAACAAAAACTAAACTTTTATCGGAAAATGCCGAACCTCATTTTTTTTAATGAGATGGGGTAACCCCAGGTTTTCTAAAATGAAGATCAAGATCCTTTAAATACTTCTTTTGAAATATTGTTTGGGTCAAATGTAATACCAAGGTCACTAAAGAGGGTAAGTTTATGAATTTTGATAATGCCACATTGTCAATGTCTGTTTATCTCTGTAGATTCAAGCCCAGGTCCAAAACCCAAGTCCACCTGTCCGAACACGAGAGTGAGTATTTGTTTGCTTGTACCTTTAAAGGAGCAATATGTAAAAATCTGGCCAAAAGTGGTACTGCAGTCACAGTCAATATTTTGTAGTCCTCTCCCACTCTCCCTGACTCAGGTTGCCAGATTCACACCAAATCCAGCAGCAAACACAGGGAATTATTTTATCAGTTGTTTGTCCGTCTCCATTCACATTGCCATGACAGCCGTGCTAATGCTGAATGAATGTTTTGATTCATGTTTTTTTATTATTATAATTTGGACAAGAGGATATCACCTTTCAATTTTATTTATTCCCTATTTTTTAGACAAACATGTAAAAGTCCCACATCAAAAAGAGACTAACATTATTTTAATTGGGGTACATGTGGTCTTAAATGATTATTTTTACAATTAAGCTATAATCTGCAAAAAAACGTCTTGACCTTCATCTTTTACCGTTTTTAGAGCAATCTGTCATAGAATGTGATCACATGCAATAAATACAAAAAGACATAGCCCGGGATCGAACCCGGGTTCCTGCATCGTAAGCGCGCAGCTTAGACCGCTAGGCCACCGGTTCACACGAACTGAGACACCGTGAAGAACGGGCTCAAACTAGAAAATTCTGCATCACACGTAAACTTTTATCAGCTGTCTCAATTGTTCAAAGGCATCCCGATATAAATCCTCGTTTTAGTCTTTGTTTTGTCATTAATTATTTGAGAGTCATAACAAGACCTTTTTTAGTTCTACGCCACATGTTATTTTACCACTGAGATTAATGAGCCGCGCGGAGTTCTGGCAACTCGATCACTGACTTACATGACACTTCCTGATTGGCGAAACGGCGGAGGGTAGGACATCAAAATCAAAACAATAACAACTTTTACGGGTCGTAAAACTAATTTTGATGATCAAATATCTCGGCTGAACTACTGTTATCAGTTAAAGATGAATTCGAAAAGAGTATGATTTAATAACGCCTTTTGAAATATTCGGGTCATTTAATGATGACTTGACATGCAAATATTACATATTGCTCCTTTAATATTAAGTGTTTTGTGACTGCAATAAAGCTACATGACCTCTCTTCTATCCACTAGGTGGCGTACAAACACCAACAATGGACTTCTGACTGTATCCATTGACAATCCGTCAGCCAGAACTCAACCTGAGTATGCACTTTTTTAAGATGCGATGTCGAATACTAAAAATGGAAACTGTGAAATAAAGTTGTGTAATTACAGACCTCCCACTGCATACACGCTGCACCCCCCTGCTGTAAGCCCTCCCCAGGTCAAAGTCGAGACAGCGGAAAGAAAGATCCCCAAAGGAGTGGCCCTTCAGTTTGATATCAACAGTGTTGCCAAACCAGTAAGAACAGGCTCCATTGACAGAGAATATACGTATTCTCAGCTAATCTGATACTTTGCTTTTGCCCTCAGAAAACATCCATGACTTTAAACGACCGTTTCCGGATACTGAAGGACCAGCGCACGGCGAAAGCACAACACGGCAAAGGCAACCGCTTTGTGACCGTAGGCTGACCATCAGCAACTGTTTAGTTTGAGGAGCTGTCACTTGGGAACTTTAAAGGAGATTGTGGACAGTGCAATTGTTAGTGTTGTGTTCACCTTTGTTTTTTGGAGTTACGAATGGACATTTCCAACATTACAGACACTGAGAGTCAGGTTTTGATGACCTCCCGCTGGTCTTGTTTTTATGGAAAACCTGAATTTGTTTTATAATCTTCACCATGGTCTCTAATTTCACGGACTTGGAAACTACAGAAGTGTTTGCATACATAAGGAGTCCAACAGATTTGGAGTCTGAATATTGCTTTTATTTTAAATACATTAAAATTTGCAATGTAACAAAACTATTGGCATATGAAATTCAAACACCTTTTGAATGAACAAACATGGCTCACTTCATTTTCTGTGACTAGTGTCAGTAACACTTGGTTATTTTCCTCTCGCCAACGCTGCAGCTTTCCCCGTTCACAGACTATCTTACAATAAGAGTGCTGAGTAAAAATGAGGTAAGAAAGTGGTTGAAAATTACAGATCATGCAGAACATGCCAAACAGCAACAAAATATTTTGTGGAGCAGAAAGTAACTGTGTGCATTTAAAAATAATCAATTTACACAGCTTTGCATCTTTGGTTACAAAGTAGGTTGAATGATTTCACAGCTTTTCCCCCTGCCCCCTTTCAGGAAAAACAGATCTGATTTCGATTGAACATCTTGGGTGTTAATCCTTATTTTGATGTCAGTTGGTGATTATTCACCTATCAAGACTCTTTATACATTCATATTTCTGGACTTAAACTTTTGAAAAACTGCAGTTTCAATTTGAGTAGTGTATATCCATATGTCACAATTAGTACGCCTTTAAGAATTGCCCCAGGGTTGTGTAAAAAGAAAGTGTAAAGTGAGAGACACGGCTTAACAGGTTTGAAGGAATTCATTTATGAAATAGCAGCCCTGTAATAAATAAAACACTTGACAGTAGAACTTAGACTGATGCAAAGTTGGACTTGATGTAAAAGTAACGGCAGCGGTATCTTTATTCTCTCCCACTTTTTTAAACAGCAAGGCTAAAATACCCCTTAACCCACTCAGATTATTTCATTAAAAAAATAACTCTTTTTGACAATCACACTTTGTCCCTTAAGGGCGGTAATGCGCACCTGCTCACGCTCTGGCTGGCCTCAGGTCTGGGATGCCTCATTCAATTCAAGGCATCGCATTGCAAGCTTGGACCCAGCAGTTTGTCAATGTGGACACACTGTAGCTAACCCAAACCAAGACTGCCCTGATTATCACCTCTATAAACTTTGTCTCAATGATTGCATTAACACTGGAAAGGCCCACAGTACAGATGCAGACATTCAACACCAATTCACAGTCGCTGTCGCCAACTCTGCCTGGCACGCACACACACACAAATGTACACTGTACTCTGTGGTCAAGCTGGTGGCTAAGAAGACAAAGTTTTCTTTGAATTTTCACATACACTAACTGTAATAGGTTGTCAGAAAATGCTTGTAGTTTGCGCTTCAAGCTGAGGTGACGTTGGGTTGCAGTTGTTGGCTGGGGTCAAGCGGTGTTTGTACCGGGGGGTTGGGAGTGAAGGGTGAAGGCTGCGGAGGAGTAGAACTAGTCTGCGTAGGCAGCTGTGACAGCTGATCAGTGTTGGCCAAGGACTTCAACACTGCATTCTCCCGCTCTAAAACTGAGTTCCTCTCAAAAAGCTCCTTGATCTGCTCCTTTAAGACCTCCACCTCTTCACGCACTGCGTACATCAGATGGCTTTTCACTAGGTCCTAAAACGGCATGAGCAGACAAGCTCAGTGATTTGTTACAATGACATCTCAAGGTTAGTCAGGTGTAAATATGTTCTTACCATTGCCTGTTCAATCTTATTGTCAATGGCAACAACATTGGTTCCAGAGGCACTGTAAAAACAGAAAAAAAGTTTGTCAGGTAAAAAAATTAAATACCCAGAGTTTAAGTGCAAGAAACAAAGCAGTTAATAAAAGTGGATGCATCACAAGAGCCTATTAAACGTAGTCTCTGGTACTTGACCCCAGTCACGAGAGCAGAGAATCTATGACAGTCCATGGACTGAGACACTGTAAAATGACCTGTCATCAATATGGAGCCGAATCTAGGTCAGATCCTCAGACACAATTTACACCACACAATATACAGCTGGTCATGTGCTATGAAAAAGAAAAAAGTTTTACAGATATAGAATAAAATTAATTAGGTGACAAATTCAAACTTTTGAATAAATGATATTTGGAAATTGTAGAAACATAAATATCCAAAACAGCAAATAAAGATTTTTTTTTAAATGCGCAAGAAATTTTACCAGGTACTATATATCCAATATTTCAACAAGAATTTGATGGGTCCAGCAGGCAGCAGTCCAGTCTGCATAAGCACAGATGTGCGTTACCTGCGGGGCGGCTGTGGCGGCTGTGGCCACAGACGAGCTGAGCGGCGCGGGAGCAGAGGCCCATAGCTCACCTGCTCTGAGCGTTCAGAGCAACATGGAGGTCTGATGGAAAAGGTACACGGCATGATGTGGACCTGACCTCCGCTCAATCCCACAGAAAGAGGCTTGGGCAGCGTGCGGGAGGCACTTTAGAGCAGCCACACAGACTACTTTTAGAAAATGAAACCTGAACCAGTCAGTGGTTGTCAGCTGAGACAGGACACACCCCTGACTCCAATACAGACTATATTCAGTACTCATTTTGTATTTCATCCAAAAGTTGACCAATACTATACAACACAAACTTTACACAGAGCAACTACGTTAACAAAACAGACCACATCTTCAGTATTTACTCAAATACACAGGCTTTGATTTATATATGTTTACATATTTTAACTTTTTATTAAACTATGAACATTTCCTTTCACCCTGCTGTTTCTATAAAATACGTATTCAATAGCTTAGATTGGGGTACAATCTTCTTCTTGCATATTTATGTATGCAACATGCATGTATACATTTTATATCGTTAGTACTTGTGATAATACTGACAAACAGTGGGGTAAAATTTTTTAATTATCAAAACAAGCAGAAAATGTCATTTAGGTCAAATAAGTTGAATCCCACAAGTTAAACCTTAGAATGATAATCAGAGGGGCAAAGGATGCTGGGAAGGCTTCACCATGGCTGAACACCAATGCCCTCTTGTGGCGAGTTATGACCTACATGAACAAACTGGTCAAGCCCTAAGGACAAGATGTTCCATTCCTTCCAACCATCACACAAGCCTTCGGGCCAGCGGAAACAGTCAGCAGATTGTTATCACAGGAATGTTCTCCATACCTCTGCCGTCAGTCAGCTCCTGCCTTTAATGTGACAGCTACATCTGCTACAACATTACAGACAAGGTTGTGTGTTTAGTCAAAGACACATGTCCCTCAGAACACACCCAGAGCACAGTGCAAATCAAGAAACTTAAAGCTTCTGCAATCCAGACCGGCCTACAAAACATTGTGCAACCCCCTTTGCACTTACACAACACCATTTATTTTAAAAGAAAAAAAACAACTACCTCAGCCTCACTCTGGGCCCAGTGTATTTAGTTTACGCAGACAGCGCAGACAGCCCCTCATATAGATTCCCTCCACAAGAGATTTCAATTGGCCCGTCCCAAGTGGAGGTACAAGGAGGCCAACACCTTTAGTGCTGTACCATGGAATTCACACTTGAAGAAAGATGTCAATGCAATTCCACTCTCCCACTGTTTGCTCACATCCGGTAACCATTGTTAGCCATTATTAACCAGACAAACATGGTATTTCACAAAAGTAAGCACACCTCTAATGTCAGTGTAAATCCTTTATATAGATCATATCTATAAAGTAATCTCAAAATGTGTCAATATTACGTGTGTGTGCTTTTTCTGGTGTAAAACATACAAATAGTATATGAAGGAAGGCTTTCTGATCTGGAAAAGGATGGTGTCATAAATGCCGAAGCTGCCATGTCAGCAGTGGCATGTTGCTCAACTCCAGATGCCTACTGCTCATAACAGAGTGGGACCTCATAATGCCAGACATGACAATTCGTCCAATACGTCCAGTGCAGAGTGTCAAATGTAAATGTTTACTAAATAACAGCCACTGAAAATGCATCCAAAGTCATTAATCCTCGTTATCAGTAAGAATTTGTGGTGGAGGATTGGTGGTCTCATTCGGATAAGCTCTGAATGTTCCACACCATAGAATACATTAATAGAGCATTCAAAGCACTCACAAATACAGTATCTTGAAAAATAAGCACTATTTGTCCTCATATTACAGAATAGTTGAAGCTAGCTTGAAGATTTAAAACCAGAAAATGTATATAAATATGGATGGAGAGGACAGTGGAAAATCTCCTTGAAGGCAAGATGGCGAGTCATTAAGGATTCTCTAAAAGTAACACATGGGCGCATTACATTTTGTAATCACCAATCAGAAAGTGTTATGAACATTTCTCAAATTGATGCTATGTCTTATGTGCTGGTTTCTGCTTCGGCTGGATTACATCGTTTTATCTTTGTGGAATCTGGGGATTTTTACACGGACATTATGCATGAGTATTGAGTACATACACTCAATTTGGTGAGATTTTTAAACTGGTCTGTCCAGTTTTGGTCTGTCTCTTTGTGCCCCGCGGAGAAACTGAAGCCTGTGACGCTTCCTAGGGAGTCTCATAATTTGCATACCTTGGAACAGTAAAAAAATAAATCTCATACATACAGTATACGTATTGTTTACAAGTGCAACACGTCATTTACCTTGAGCAATAGATTTGAGCCCAGTCAACCAAAGCAGCACGAGTCATCTAATTTCCGCCACGGAATTAAAAGCACCATGCGTCCTGCTTTTGCCTCACATAACAAAAGAAAAACAAACAAACAGGATTTGTTACTACTGCGATTGAATTGCCATGTAACCACATAAACCAGACCACTTGTCTTAATCAATCAGTGGGAGCGGGTGAGACTTGTAAACGCAGTTGACCAAAGACAGGTCTGGAGGCGTGCTTGGCCAATCCATCATGTTGGAATCCTGCACTGTGCACAGTTTCTGAAGAGAAGAGGTCCACACAAAATATTGACACTTGAGGCACATTTTGAACTTTGGAGAGGACAGTAAACTTACACTGTCACACAAGTTTCATTTAGTCAGTGTGGTCCCATGAAATGTTATTGTGAAAAATGAGCAGAAATGGGAGGGGAAACACGTTTGTGATTGAAATACTTAATTCATGGCATAAGTAACTAAAAAACAGCAGGACAGGGGAGGCTGGGGAACTTTTAGAGTTTGCAGATACATAACTCTCTACAAAGGCCAAGATACAAGCCTACCAAACAACATATTTTAAAGCAATTCTACATGATTCATTTAATTTTAAAGGCTTCTTGACACTTATCGAATGCTCCGTCCCATTCTAATGAAAATACAAGAGTTAAAAGGTGCATTTATCTTCCATTTATTTAAAGCTTTAAAGCTCACTACCAATGCATGTGATCTTAACTAAGCCGGTATATATTATGTTAACGCCACTAACTTGTTTGGGATCTCTACTCAAAACAAAAGTGTATTCAGGGCTTGGTAAAAGTGGCTTTACTAGTGTCACAAAGTAAACAGCACTGATGTCACAAGGGTCAGTCACTCGGCCGAGGCTGCAGGGCCGGGCTCATTACATGCACTGATTATGATGCAGTCTCCATAAAAGAACAGCACTTTGAGCGTTTGACTGCAGCTTTTTATTTGCCTGAAAAGCTTGTGAAGAAATGCCAATTAAAATCCCTAAGAATCTGTGAAGTCTACATTCAAATTGGCAAGAAAATTTCCCTAAAAAGCACAACGCAATACACGTAATATACGTCAGCTCCTTTGGTGGTGCGGTGAAATAAAGACAAGCCTGAATAATTGACAGGAGACATGTAAAAGTATGTTGAGAAGGCAAGGCCCGGGGACAACAGGTGTACAGAGGAGTTGAACGGAGGGACCGACTAGGAGGAAATTCAACGTGAATCAAATCAAATCAAATGCTCTTCTTTAGAGCACACCAAATTGGGTTTTCTCCAAAATGCAAGTCAAGGCACAAAAAGCATATTGCAACATAATCAATTCTCAATCTCAGTAACACTATCCCTGTGTACTGTATTTGAAAAATGTTACATGATGAGATGATGAAATGGGCTTGTAATATACTTTAACAATACTTTTAGACATTCCCAATCTCCAGACAAAAACACACATCAACTTATCCATCATGGTTTTATTCCTATTATATCTGTAATGTCTGCAGCAACACTGACAAATAAAGGTTCTCTTTTTATTTTGCATTAGTAAAGTCTATTTTTTGTTTTAGCCAGTTGTGTAGTGCCTGGTTAACACAACGAACAAACCAAAACTGAAGTCGTACTTGCGCTGCACTGGTGGTGTGCAGATTGTGGGCTGGCAATACGTCAGATGTATACTTCACTTGAGCCCTTTCATTTCCTGTCACTTCAGTGTGGGTTTGCAGCTTCCCTTTTCACTCTGGTCAAAGCTGCAAGCGATGCCCATCTCATCGATTAGAACACAACACGCCGAACTCAAGCAAGACCACTAGAGGGCACATGCTCGCACCTCGGCCTTTTATGAAGCATTCTTTTGACCCCCATGTATGTGTGTAAATATGATTGGACAACTTGAAAGCTCCAGTTGAATTGAGTCAAGTATCTATTGCAAGTAAAAAGGTTTAACTTACTTACATTTCACCATTTCCTTTCAAAGACTGATATACTTTTGTAATGTTTTTTCTGGTGTGATTCAATTGTATAGCTCTATATACTGTGTTTTCTTCACAAATGTAACTCATGCGTGTGGACAAAGCAAAGTCTGTATGGCGCACATGGCACACAAATGCAACACTCTTGCAGAACAGCAGAGGCCAAACCAGGGCAGTACTGTACCTATCACTGAGGGCCTTTGAATCTCTTAATCTGCTGCCAGACTGGAAGGCCTGGTAGAAAGCCTTGGAGGGGTTCCTGTGTCAACCAAATTCAGAAAAACAGAAACAGAGCAGATGAAAACAATGAGAACATGTTGTGACACAGACATGCGATTCTTAAAAGTGTATTCTACTGTACTAGTGAAAGCAACGCCAACATAGCTCTAAGCCCTCTAGAATCTTTAGGAGGTCGAAAGCTATTTAACAAGACAAGTGAGGGAAAAAGAGAAAGAGCAAGGGGGAGAAAGGACAAAAAGGAATGCAGATTGCTTCATAGAAAGAACACACCTCCCTCAGGCTTAATCGTAAACAACCTGCCGATCACTCAATATCAACTTAAAAGAAAGTGGACTGGCTTGTTTGCAGAGTCTGAAACGGGTTTACTCAGGAATTAAAAACATCACTACACACGGTTTGTGATTGTTGTGTACAAATGTTTAAGAACAAAGGAACAGTGTGTGCTTGTGCTGTGACATGGGATGCATGACGGGAAGGGGAAAGGAAATCCCCGCTCTGACCCTTAGCACACTAGCCCAGGCTCGTGCGCACAACACATACACACACACACACACACACATCTGGTCCAGTCACAGCACGAGCTTCCCTGCTGCACTCTCGCAAACATTATGCATATGTGCAAGTGGTGACACGAGGAAACAGCCAACACATACAGAGCGGTAAAGGGGAATGAGGTATTGATATGGAGCATAATATTACAGGGCGGCCAAAGCCATTTTCCTAGAAACCTCTCGCACAAAATCGCTTTCTCTCGTTACCTCATGACTGAACCCTCTAACAGACCCCCTCCTTTGCCATTGCTTCACTCCACTCTGCAGGCAAAGAAAACACATCCAAGCACACGCCTTCACAGCTATACTTAAAGGGCTAAACTTTTGCTATTGGTTGATATCATGGAGCTCAGACAACCTGGAGTCCAGAGAGTGTGTCAGGGAAGAGTGCCTGTTTTCATGTTGAAATCATTTGGCTCTCAATGGCAGTCTTTGTAAAACTTAAATATAACATGTCAATATCCATTTCTGAAAGGGGCTCTTTGTAAAGCAGCTCAAACTAGTCTATGTGCTCAACAGTAGTGGAGCTCTATCTGCCTCATAAACCCCAGTGAGTCAAGCCACAAATATATAGATGAGCTTCGCTCTCAAAAAAATATGTGAAGACACTTCATTTCTGAACCATCCCCACAGGCTTAAGTAAGTTAGGCGGCTGTAGAATGACTAAAATAACCTTTAGGTGCATTCTTGTGTGCTAATGTAATGTCACACTGACACATGGCTTTTTCTTTACTGTATGTTCTGAGACCAACCACTTCTATATCACTAATAACCCTCCCGAGTCCCTTAGCAAGTGAATGTTCACCAGAAGTCTAAGGTTACCAATTTAGGGGGAAGGGAGCCATGGAAGTATGAACTATTATGTGACTCCTGGAAAGTATGACAACAAACGGTTTAGGCCACTTTTGTTAATCAGCAGGAAAAAAGTGACAAGAGCGAGCAAGTCGAGGGCTAAACTTCCTTGTGTTGGTTTCCAAGCTAGTTTGAACAGACATATCAATTATCATTGATCGTTATTTCACACTAGAAAATACAGTTGACAAATATTGTACCCTAAAACCTAGAATGATTTATTTTAAAGGCACACCGCGGACTTTGTGACCTAAAGAGTTGACACATGAGTTATTTTATATGAATACTTGGGCCAATATACAGCGCTTGACACTTGCAATGCTCCGAGCGGGGCTGCCCTCTTGAAATACCGCCCATGTAAGTTTCGAGCAGACGGACCGTCTGCCACCAGGTCACGTGACTTGGAAGAAAGACTTGCTTTACGGCTACAGGCGCTGATATACTCATGGAGCTAAGGCTTTTGCTACTCATTTTTCACCTGCTCGACTCCTGGTCATGGCTGAGGCAAGGAAAAATTTTAAACCTTCGGAGGAGGCTAAAAAGAAGAAACGCAAAAGGGATCGTGCTGTAAGCTGCATGTCTGTATGAGCGCTGCTCTTCACCTGGTTCCTGGATGTCATCGACTGCAAAGATGTCATTCCACGCAGCACGAGCTAGACGCAGAACTCCCTCATCCAGGATATAGAAGTCCATGTGTGGTAGATTACTAATGCAGCGGTCTGGAGGCTGACCACAGCAGAGTCTCTCAATATCTGTAGGCATGTCTCTACAGTTTGAACACACACACCAGTGCATGCTGTCTGAATACACACTCAAAAGACACCGGCTGACTGTTTGTTGACTTTTGCGACAGTGCTGAGTTGCTTGTGGCCACTAGGGGCGCTAAACGTGAAAGTTGCAGGTCTAGCGCCCCTAGTGGCCAAGAGTTACACGGTGTGCCTTTAACTAAGTTAATACATATAATCTTTCAAGCCTTATATTTTCATAATTTTCACTATAAGTATATCCAGATTAATACAAATAGAATTTGAAAAAGAATGTTAAGAAAAACCAATAGAAATTATTCTCATCAACCAAAACAATATAATTATTATTCGATCATCTCTTTTGCCATTTTATAATGCAGTGAACCTTGCACCAACAACAATGCAATAATATCGTACTAAGAGTTTCATACCAAAACAGAGAGGCTAGTAAAGATTACTAGTCTTAAATACTTTGGCAATGGGGGCCTTTGGTACTAGAGTAAAATTAAAAGCAAAATATGTATACTTCCATAATGAGGTCAATATCATATTTGGCCTTTTCTGAACATAATGTTAATGCTGATGTATTCTTAATATAAAAAATGGACATGGTCACATTGTCCATTGTTTTTTTATTTGAAAAACAATGGACAATGTTACCACCGTGATTAAAAGTAAAATGCCATAAATTAGGGTCTAAAATGGCCAGTCAACTTATATCATCAAAAAAAAAAATCTTCATAGTATATTTTAAATCACTGTGGTGAGTCAATTTGAGATAAGGCAAGGTCAGAAACCTAGGAGTTATAATGGACTCAGACTTAAATTTTAACAGTCATATCAAATCAGTAACATCACCAGCGTTTTACCATCTGAAAAACATTGCCAAAATTAGAAACATAGTGTCTAAATCAGTAGCTCGGGCGGCACGGTGGCTGAGTGGATAGCACTCTCGCCTCTCAGCAAGAAGGTCCTAGGTTCGAATCCCGGTTGGACCAGGGCCTTTCTGAGTGGAGTTTGCATGTTCTCCCCGTGTCTGCGTAGGTTTCCTCCGGGTGCTCCGGTTTCCCCTACCACTAAAAATATGTACAATAGGTATGGCATGTGCCTCCTGTACTGGCACCCCCACCCAACAATTGTAAACCGCTTTGAGACTCCGATGTGCAGTGAAAAGGCGGTATATAAATAAAAGCTTACTTACTTACTAGCTTACTTACTCAGTTGGTAGAGCTTTGGCCTTAAGGCCAGAAGGTCGAGGGTTCAATTCCCACCTCTGCACCTTCTCCATCGACTCCCACTGATGACTGCTGTCGTTGTGTCCTTGGGCAAGACACTTAACCCCACTTTGCCCAAAGCCCCCACTGAAAGATCAAGGCTATGCTCACACTCAGAGCAGCCGTCCTCCTGTGGACTCACCACCTGCAGAGGGTCAGTGAGGGGCTGGTGCTATGAGACTTGGGTGGCATCTCTGACTGCCACCCCCCTGACTCAGAAATGGATTAAAGGGTAGAAAATGGATGGATGGATGGTGTCTAAATCAGATCTGGAGATTCTCATCCATGCATTTGTCTCCAGTAGGTTAGACTACTGCAATGGCCTGCTCACAGGTCTGTCCAAACAGGCTGTAAAACAGCTGCAGTACATTCAAAATGCAGCAGCTCGAGTCCTGACTAGAACCAGGAAGTACGACCACATTAGTCCAGTCAGGTCTCTGCACTGGCTTCCTGTGGCTCAGAGAATAGACTTCAAAGCAGCACTGCTTGTGTACAAGTCTCTCCATGGCCTCGCACCAAAGTACTTAAGCGACTTGTTAGTGCCATATGAACCGGCCCGGACTCTGAGGAGCACAGAAGGTCTCTTACTGGTTCCAAGAGTCAGAAAACATGGGGAGGCAGCGTTTGAGATTTATGCAGCTAAAATCTGGAACAATCTTCCTGAAGATGTGAGGCTAGCATCTACTCTGGCAATTTTCAAATCAGGGTTAAAAACTGTTCTTTTTAGCTGTGCATACGGCTGAAGGATTTTATTGATACATACTCTTTTTTAATGCATTGTGGTTATTTATTATTTTAATCCCGTGTGTGCTTTTAATGTTTTAAGGTTTTTTCATTACTTGTGATTTTATTCTGTTTTTTATGTATTTATTGTTTGTATATGTAGTTTTTGATGTTTCTGATTTGTCTGATATTATGTGGGTTGTGAGGTGCTTTGAGTGGCCTTGTGTTGGAAAGGCGCCATACAAATAAAGTTGATTGATTGATTGATAAGGATAGCTTAAGGACATATACATTTACTGAAATGAACGGTCCACAGATATGAGCTGTAACTGACTGATGTCTGAAACATCATGGAATGTTCATTTATCATTTCACATTTTTGGTTCTTGGGCAAATTTATCCAACCAGAAAGCAGAATTAACATCACATGAGTCTCGTTGCGGTTGCAAGTTTCACTGGTGAAATCAAGCAACAAAGAAATTTGTAATCAGAGCTGCAGGAACAACTACATGTGTGTCTGCCAACTCAAGCTCATTCATTCAGCTTCCACGCTGCAGAAGTAGGTCAATAATATTTAGGTTTCTGAAGTCCAGTAGACATTACTTTCAACAGGTCTTGTCTCATAGTTGAACCAAATACATTTTCAACCCTACAATGTGAATTCCTGGATTTGTTTTTCACATTCTGTCTCTCACAGTTGAAGTGTACCTATGATGAAAATTACAGACCTCGGTCATTCTTTTAAGTGGGAGAACTTGCACAATTGGTGGCTGACTAAATACTTTTTTGCCCCACTTTATATAAAGGAAGGAAGGAAGCTGCTCATTCAAAACAGATCATCAACACAATTCGCTCTGAACTACATCGTGCTTTCTCAGGGGTTGTCAGACCAGAAAAGGCCAAAAGTCAAGCAGCTTCTTTGCCAGGTATAATATAGACAAAATTAATTTCAGTTTGTTAAATTGTTTTCTCATTGCAGTTTTAACAAGCAAGCACATTAAGTGAACAAAAGCATATGCAAAACAGTAAGCCCACTGATTGACCAAATGAAGGCAAAAACTCGTCCCATGCATATATCAATTCTCGGAAAACGCCTTATGGAGCCTAAACAGCAGACAGCAGTGACCACAGACCACAAGCAGCAGTGACCATAGGCCGAACGTGAGGTGGTTTTAACGGAGAGCAATGTCTGCGTGATCACGACTAGGCTGCAAATAGCACTCCTACTCTATCATAGTCCTACTTACAGGTACTGTTTATGTGCCGAAGCAAGTAAAAGGAAACTTCACATCCAATAATAGTCAACATCTGGCAGCAACCTGCATTTGAAATCCAGATCCATCAGACCTCTGAAACTAAGCAGAGCATGGCCTAGTAAGTACTGTGATGGGGGACCTCTGGGGAAACCAGGTGTCACACTAATGGGCGGCTGCGGCTAAATAAAGCTTACTTACTTACTTACTTACTTACTAAAGTGCCAAACTGTTGTGTCCACCATCAAACATTCACGCACACACTAGGTAAATTCTAGGCAATGCGGGTGAAGTGTCTTGCCTAAGGATGCGACAGTTTGAGGTCTCCCATCACAGTACTAACCTGGTCCCGCCCTGCATAGCTTCAGGGGTCTGATGAGATCAGGCTTTCACATGCAGGTGGTGCTGAAACCAATTTTTTTTCAAACTCCACTTTTACCGTCATTGTGAAACAAGTGTGAATGCCAACAATAGGCTCAGAACAGAAAACTACACTGGACAACACTTGGCATAACATGTAGAGCTTATCTGTAGCACAGTACAGTAGATGCCATTTATGCAGGTATCATTTAATCAAATATACTCAACATAGCATAAGGCGTGTCTCCAGTCCTGAATATGTAGCTCTTGGCCAATCAGAATAAAAACACGTCCATTCTATAATAGCATCTCTTAACCAGTCTTTTCTCATGTGCTGATCACATAGTTTGAATAACGATGCCATTAAACATAATATGTAGCATTTCAAAAGTCTTTTTCCTAATTTTCATGGGACATTTGCCATTTGTGCCTGCTCCCTCTGCTGCCACTTTTGATTATTAAAATCCAGGTTTTGGAAAAACTTTCAAGTTTATGAGTGAAACATATAATCCTTGCTTCTGCTGATTGCAGTAATCTATGCACAGGGATATGTACATGTAATAAGGCCTAATATTTGCACAAAAAGGCATTTAAGGAGAGGTTTGTACCAATTAGAAAAGGAATTAGTACGTCAATGATTGATTCTACCTCACTAGCATGCTACAATGTGCTTACCCGTGCTAGCAGTGCAGTGGATTGTCTGTTTATGTAGCCGATTAGGAGCCAACATTAGTTTTCTGTGATTTTGGAAAAATAAAAGGGCAGAAAAAGTGAAAAATGGCTCTAGAGGTAGTAGTGTGAAAGACAAAGACATAAAACTAAAGTGGCCCTGTGGAAAATGTAGGGACACATCAAATTGTCTCAAATACCTTTAAGTATTCAATGTACTTTATGGATTATGTTCAATCTTAATACAGTTGCTATAACTGTAGTAATCCAATGGTTACTAATTTGGCTCTACAGAGGACAACGCCTATTTTTTGTGGCTCTTACTCTCTGATTAGTGAGCCCCCCCGATTGACAATAATGCTTCCCTAAACTTCCACGTTTAGTAGGCTAGTTAGCATGAGGTAGCAAAATCCATGTCAACTCTTCCAATCATTGTGAAGCAGAATTAACCTGGCAGTGGATTGTTCACACAGTATGAGGGAATGTGAGCTGGGTTCAGACTGTCATGAGACAGGTTTTAACCTACCAATGTGTTAGTTAAGGTACCAGTAATTCCCGTTCACTCCACTCAATGAGATAACAGAAAGATGGCAAACACACTGGCACATCAAAGCTTCCAACTTCAATATTATGAATGCATTAATTATTGATGTATGACATCAATAGTGTATTAAATAATAACTCAGTAGAGGACGTATACATTTGTCACTTAAAACTCGGTGCTCTATAAACATGTATAGTGGCCCTTGGCCCATAAGTATTCATCAATTCTATTAGTTTACGGACAGTACGCATTAATCAATATTACTGTAAATGTGCCAGTATTGGCTAAACAGATAGTTTACAGCTAGCTAGTATAGATGAAACTATGTACTTTATTATCTGAATCAAGTATAGCGGAATTCATAGAAAAAGTTGGAATTCTGTGAGTAACTAAGTCCCAATGTTATTTATTTAAAGATGTAGTTATGAAGGACAGCTGGGGACCACTGAAGGGAAAAAATAATTAAATTGTAAAAGATGTGGCAATATCTCTAGGCTACAGTCTACAGTAGCGCAACTGCAGTACAGTCAATTTCAAGGGAATATAAAGTAGGACTGAGGTTAAGGAGTAATAGATCTGATACATCCATAATAATTACTGCTTAACTACTTCAATAATCCAACTGCCAATCTGTCAATAGCTTTATCAAATGCTTTATTAAATTATATATTATGCAACCCCACTATGTAAACATTTTAATCAAGTTTAGTCAAACGCTGAAGGTGAAGACTGTTTATCTAAATGTGTACAAAATACCTATAGGTCAGCTCACTGCTTAGCTGCGAGGCCAGCTAGAAAGAGACTAAACAGGTTATGACTTTCTACACAGGCACAGGCAGATGTCATTCAGCACATCCACTGTACCCTCATGACTGTCAGCCTCGCCTGTCAGCTCTGTGCCAGAAGATCTATTGACACCACACAAAACATCCACAAACTATACAATTATAGGGCACCAGTGACAGAAATTAGATTTTTTTTTCTCGCAGATCAATCAATTATTCAAGTCCAAAAATGTATTAAAATTGACAAGATGATGTGCTGGAGAATAAAGTCAGGAAACACGTTTGTGACAGTGAGGACCAGAGGGCTGGCACACCTCTCTGACAGGTCTCTTATCTGCCCCATAGGGCCTCGCAAGAAAAGCTACTGCGGACTGTTTGATAAGGGGTTTATGCTATCTATACCACGACTCGCCCACCGACACTCATTATCAGGCTCCAAAAGAACAAGAAGCTAATACTTAGGTAATATTTATGGACAACAACAAACAAGTGTATTACAACAAATAAATAAACTCTATATTATATTTGTATTGCAATTGCATTGATAGCATGAGTTTTATTTACAGAAAAATGTATTGATAAGGAATTAAATAATATACTAAAAGATACGACACATGGATCATAACTTCTAATCTTGTTCATTGTAAATCATAACATCAATCTTGCACAACTTCTTGTCTGGTAGATGGGGTTGGGATCACTTATTCAATATCATATAAGTAAGTTTATTATTGCATTGTAGTCAGGAACCCAAATGTGGAAATCCTGGTGAGATACATAGAGCTGAATGATTTTGGCATAAATATTCTTATATAATTTGAACTTTTATGACGGTTTATGTTTTAGTTTCTCAAGTGGAGCTGCCCCAAAAAGTTGAGAAAGATAACATACAAATTCAAGTTTAATCAACCGATACTAAGAGAAACCACCAAAATTGTAGAGTAAATGTTACATAAAATGTACCCTTCCACTATAGGAAACCATTGATGTTCGAGGTCAGTGACTGACTATCCATCTACAACTCAAGGTCCAGTACCCATGGACATAATCTTTCTTAACATATGAATTTTCCAATAATTGGCACAAGGCAAAGCATCTTAACTTTTGGAATGTTTCTGCACACACCGAAGAAAACCACAAGATATTTCAGGCCCTGCATTATTTCCGCTCACGCTAACGACCTGCAACATAAATCAATCTACATTTCCTCTATTGCACAAACCCACAAGAAAAATTGCTTATCCACTTAATATATTACATTATTATATTATACAATATTACTGAAAAAATAATTGATCCCGTGGTAAAAGTCAACATGACCAGTCCTTTAAATGTAATTGATATTTAGGTAAAAATTCAAAAGCTGTTGACGTTATATCTAAACAATTGATACAAGATTTGATCTAGTCTATTGTTTTTCAGGGGCATGCAGCAAGAGGGGCTTAACACACATGGAATCCCAGTGTGACAAGAACAATGTGAGCCTAACAAGTTTCTACCTGTACAATATACAAGTGTGGGACCTGCACCTACTCCACAAGCTGCTTTCACAGCATGGGTCGTCACTTGAAAGCTATAAGGGAAAATGTTAAACTGGCACGTGCTTGTTAGTATGAAAAATACAGCTGCACTGACAATTGTCACACGCTTGTTAGTGTGACAATTGTCAGTACAGCTGCATTTTTCTGATGAATAATAACATTTATACTTCTCTATTTACATTAAATTTGTGTTTTAGTCGTCCAACTTATATATGTCTTGCTTTTGTTAAATAATCTACAATACGTATAGTGGAAACCGGAGGATTACATGTAAAAAGACATTGAAGTCTTGCATTTCTATTTGCCCCCAATATCAAGACGCAATTCAGAATTATTTTTGTCACTATGTACAAGAAGTTTAATTTCAGACTGCAAGTGTGTGTCTTTGTATGTAAACTTTCGGTTTCCATTTAAAGTTTTTTTTTTAGTGTATCAAATGTAGTGTTACCTGTCCTCATCCCCATACACAGGAATATGGTTCCCAAACAGACTATTGACTGTGTGCGTAGAGAGCTGCAAGGCATCAGTCATCAGTGGCTTCACTGGGTCCTTCCCAGGAACAAGAAGCCCATCGGACTTCCTTCCACTTGTAATCTCCATCAGTCCCAGTCCAGCTGCTGGATTTCCCTGCACCACTGCAGTCTTAAATGGAGCTGAGGGCAAAGCAGAGCTGGTCACATTTGGCATGACTGCACTGGAGGCACTGGGCACAGCAGCAGGCATGGTGCTCGGCACACTTGAGCTCACTGTATTGGCAGGCACATTCTGTACGCTGGATGGTGTTGCACCATGTTGAGGTGGTTGTCCTGTTGTGATGTGCTGCGTCTGTAAAGTAGACCCACTAACTAATAAGGAACCAGGAACATTTCCCATTGGTGGCTGCTGAAGTGGCAGTCCAGTAGATAGAGAACCTCCAACATCCCCAATCTGACTTGGCACAGAAACTCCACCTGTGGCTCCTTGTCCAGTAGAGACATTCTGCCCAGTAGATTGATAATACTCTGACTGGCTTTGCCCCAGAACCGTGGACTGACCGGTCAGGACATTGCCTATAGGAAGCTGCTGCTGTGCAGGGAAAGAAGGGGGAACTCCAGGTGACTTGTGTAACAGAACAGCAGACTGAGGCAGGCCATTATGTCCCACAGATAGTACAACTTGGGATGTAGGTGGTTGGATGGCCGCTGTATTAGACTGCAGTGGCTGGACAGCAGTAGGTTTGCTGTTGGAGAAGGCACTCTGTGTGCCACTAAGGCCCTGCTGTCGAACACTGTAGCCTGTGTGTGGAACTGATGGTGTGGGTAATGTCTCCACAGATATTATGCGAGCTGAAGACACTGTCGTGTCTGCTGCTGAGCCTACCGTGTGTCCCAGTCCACTGTCACGCTCTCCAGTGGGGTCTTGTGTGGTACTGGCATGTCTTATGCTATCTCCAGACTTTCCCACTGAAGCCTCAGAATCTTTGTCATAAAACTCTGTGCAAGTCCATCTGCCTCTTCGAAATGGTTCTCCAGTACCATGGTCGAGTTTAATGACTCTAAAGCGAGATGTGAAGCTCACTGTGGAGCCAGAGGCAGCAGGAGGAGCCGAGCTGGACTGGCTGGTTTGTGATGAGTTCAGGAACACAGCACTGGCCTGTTGCTGAGGGGCGACAAGTGGCCCAGCTGAATGCCCAGTCTGCAGCTGCCCACTTTGATTAGATACTTTGTTTGACAGCTGACTTGCCTGAGGTATGTGTGCTGGTGCCTCTACCTCCATAACAATATCCTGGGCTTCTTCATGTGGACTTCTGTCATTGGCGGGCTCATACTCCGTCCGTGACATGTCATATATTTCCGAGGACACGTCGTCAGCTCTCGACTCGTCTGGGTCTTCCAGGCTCTCCGTGTCATCAGCAGCTCCTATGGCCGCTACCTGGGCCTGGGTGACACTGGTGATTTGAAAACAGCTCTTTTTCTTGGCCGGCATTTTCGACATACTGGCAGTCTTGTATGGCTATATTTATCCTTCGTCAAAAGAGACGAGATGTTTTGGAGCTTTGTATATTATGATCAATTCATCTTTAAACAGATAATTTTACTGAAATACTTTAACAGCTAACTACAGTCCAGCTGTATCTGCGCCATCCCCTTTGCTCGTGGATCTTCTGTGCGTTTTACGGGATCATAATTAGGAGTCCAGGCCAGCAATGCAGCGTTGATCACCAACAACAGTCCGATGATAAATCCAAAGCTATGGGCGAGTCCAGATCGGTCACAAGTCCTGGTTGTTCAGTTGTCAAAGGCCCCAGCCAGGGGAGCTACTTCAGGCTGAGGAGGGCCCACAGCCCTCCACTCACTGGGTTAACGCTGCACACTCCCCCTATGTTGGTACAAGTAAACGAGACATCTTCACAAAAGCTGTTTTCAGAATTAGCTCACTTTACCAGCTTCAGCCCACCACGCAAATGAACTGCATACGTATCTCCACTTAGTTTAGAGAAAGACCGCGGATAAATTCCTTGTGTTATTAAACTATCGGCAAAATAAACAGCAGCAGTCGTTGCCTCCCTCGTCACTCCTGACAAGATGGCTATGTTGTGTGCGCCGCGCTGCATCGTGGGTACGGAGAGTGCGCAAAGAGTTGCGTAAAGACATTTGTGAATATCTCTCGCAACAAGCCTTCACGTACACCAATGAAAATGGTATAAATAAAGTAATGTTCAAGCCTTACAAATAGAATCACAAACAACTCAAATTATAAAAGCTCAAATAAAAAGAATATTCATAACATTAATAAAACTACTAATTTATAATAAATAAAGACAAACCCATGGACAACATCGCTCCTAGCGGCCAAGAGTGTCAGCTACCAAAGTACCCGTAGCAACTTACGAGAGTCTGTAAGATCTAGATAAAAATAATGGAATAACGCAGTATACATATCCAAAATAATATACTACATCAAGCATCTCTGTTATAAAATATTTGAATGGTTAACTTGATTTTTATTGTGATGGGAGACCTCTGGGAACACCAGGTGCCACAGTGGGGCGGCTGTGCACAAATATTATTGAAACAATAATAGCTCCATATAAAGAGCCAAACAGTCGTTGAGTCCTTAGGCAAGACACTTCCCCTACATTGCATAGAATAAATCTGGTGTGTGTGTGTGTGTGTGTGTGTGTGTGTGTGTATGGTTGGTGGAGGTCAATGGCACTCACTGATTGCCTACCTTCCGTCAGTATGCCCCACGGCAGCTGTGGCTACAATAGTGGTTTATCACCACTGTGTATGGAGTGAATAAATAATTACAAATAGAAGAGAAGAGGCCATGTGTATTTTGTGAACTCAATGAAATTGAAAGTGAAGTGCATTTTTTGTTATATTGTCCTTTTAGAATCAGAATCAGAATCATTTTTATTGCCACGTAAGTAACAGGAAGTCACACACTTGGAAATTGCTTTGGCTCAGTGCAACAGTCAGAAAGAGATAATAAAATTAAAGAATAAAAACACTTCTAAGGAATACATTTAAATTTAAAATAGAGTTACAGTTTTTTAGTGATGAATTTAGAAACGCGTTGTTTCATAAAACGCTTTCCCAAGATCCTGATTTGTTTTGGTGCAGTGACGACAACAAGATGACATTTTTATTTAAAAATCAAGTATTTAAATTGTCTTCATTTTTAAGTAAAGCCTGGAAGAAGCAGCAGACTAATTTATTTAAATGAGAGCATTTGTGTTTGATTTTATTTATGTGCCTGATGTTGGCCTGTGTCTCTATTTGTGTTAATGGTGTCTTAAAAGCCCATGCGGGCTTGGCATCCTTGTATGCGAGACACTATAATAAATAAATAAAAAATCTATCTATCCATCTATCTATCTATCTATCTCTCTATCTATGAAGCGTCTTTTGACGTCCAAAAAGCGCTATATAAACCAATGCATTATTATTATTATTGATTAAGATAATTGTATAGTTAGTTCAAATGTTGCTATCAATCAAGTATAATAATTGATCAAGTTTAGTATTAGATAATAAACTTGATTAGTATATCATATGATTGATGATCTTCAATCTTTGACGAAATGTGTTCTCCGCCTGTTCTCTGCTCTGTCAGTGGCTCTGTCAGTGGCTCTGTCAGTGGCTCCAGCCCAGCGTGCAGTCTGGAGCCCTGCAGGCTGGAGCCCTGCAGTCTGGAGCCTGCAGTCTGGAGCCCTGCAGTCTGGAGCCTGCAGTCTGGAGCTTGCAGTCTGGAGCCTGCAGTCTGGAGCCCTGCAGTCTGGAGCCTGCAGTCTGGAGCTTGCAGTCTGGAGCCTGCAGTCTGGAGCCTGCAGTCTCCAGCCTGCTCCACACGTTCACACGCCGCTGTGTTGAAGAGCGGTGCTGGTACCGGGGCTGTGCCCATTGTGCGGAGGGATCTGACAGACTACACCCCTCGCTGCCTTCCGGCTTTATTAGCTGCCACAGCATTATCCACATTGTGGCATAGACCGTGGACTAGCCAGATTTAAACTATTAGAAATCCGGAGCCTCCGTATATTTAGGTCTACAGTGGTTAATATCAGTTTTCCAGAATGTCTTGGCAAAGCTACGTGGATAGCCTGATGGCCGATGGTACATGTCAGGATGCCGCCATTGTTGGATTTATCAAGACCAAATATGTTTGGGCATCACATTCTGGTGGTACATTTAGTAATATCACGGTAAGATATTATAACTAAGCTGCCAGTGAGGTCATTCCTGTTGAAACCGCAGTCTTTATTGTCAGCGCAGACGCGTGTCTGTGTGCTAGCATAGCACTAGCCTGTAGTAGTAGGAGAATAACGGGATTATCGTCTGACCCTGTGTACAATCCTCACTTTATCACAGTTAGTATTAGGTTTGGGGTAACTCAAGTCTATTTGTATTTTACTACGTTGCGTTTGGCTGGAGGTATAATGGAATGATGTTAGGCTAAAATCTTTTATTGTATCCATGGGATTCATCTTCCTGTTTTAATAGTTTCCCACTCTGAAATGATTTGATATTTATTTAATCACCCTGTTAATACGTCTGGATTCTTATGTGTGTCTGTTTTGTAATAACCTAACTGGTCCCAAATATTTCTACCAATAATTAAGATATGCTGTTTACCTTAATTGTTTTTGTAAAGTCTGCTATTCCCACTAACATTGATATTACTTATTTTGTTGTCATGTATGATATTTATTGTATTTATATTCCAGTCCCAAGAAATCGACTCTCTTATTGATAAGGACAAGGCCTCCGTGTTCACTGCTGGGCTGACTCTGGGCTCTAAGAAGTGTTCAATTATTCGCGACAACCTGCAGGATGATGGAGAATGGACTATGGACATTAGAACAAAGACCCACGGAGAAGAAACTACTACCTACAATATTTCTGTAGCAAAAGCCTCAACAGGTATGATGGGGACCTCCTGCAGTTTCTTAATTATATTGATTACTTCCTTTCACAATTGTTGTTTGGAATATATTTAAGTAATTGACAGTTTTCAATGTTTTACTTACTGCATCAAAAATCCACTTGTAAAACTCTTAAGAGACTATGATGCCTCTTCACCACAAAACTGCTGTCCTTTGTATTTTATAGTGCTGATTTTTCTGCATCACTTTGGCACAAATGAAGAAAAACTGGCTGCTATAAGCGTTTAGAGAATACAATGTCAGGTTTTAATTAGCCTGGCCTTTAGCCATCTGCAAACTCCGGTCAGTTATCATTTACCTGCATGTACCTGTCTGGGTCTGGTCCCAGTGTCTGCAATTCAATCGGTTGAATCCCATCCGACCAATCAGCGAGTGCGGGAGGCGGGTGTTGTAGGTAGCTGTCAGTGACGTCAAGAGTTTGTGCAAAATTGGCAGGTTTTTTAGCAATAGAGAAGAATGCAATAGTAAAGTAATCCGTTCTGGTTCTATCAATAAATTAAAGCCAGAGCAAGAGGAATGTTTAGCAAATCTAATTGCTGGCAAAGACTGGTGCTTCTCTCCACGGGCTCCATTAGCGGCAAAGGAGATGGCTAGGCTAAATGCTAGCGACCCACTCGGGCGCATTACATACATCACAGTAAACTTTGATCCAATCGTTTCAATCTGCAAAATAGTTAACCGCTCCCACCTGTTAACAGAATTTGATGGAGCAAATCCAGACCTTAGTGCAAAATATAATTTGTACGGTGGTGTGGTACGACCAGGCCAGGTTTAAATAGCTATTACTATTATTGTACTTGATTGCATTAATCCTTATTTGCAAAATGGGTCACAGACATTGTCTTCTCCATGGAGAGGATGCTAGTGGTGTTCATTTAGATGTTTAACATTATATGTTATTTATGTTTGTATTGTGTTTTAACAACTACAATGCAATACATATTCTAATCTGTCTTTTTCTTTGTTCCTTTTCTAGTATTGGTTCTTGTTATGGGGAAGGAAGGAACCCACGGAGGCCTATTGAATAAGAAGGCATTCCAAATGGCAAAGTACTTGAGGGATTCAGGCTTTTAATATTTTTCAATATGGCTTGTTCAAATTGTGGGACACAATAAAGAGAAAAATGCTGTTAAGATTTCTCCTGCAAGCAGTCAACTGTCATGGAAACTTTAATAGCTAGAGGAAGGAGCGAGACCGTCATCTCCGGTCCACCTTTGTTTTCTGAAAGGGGGAAGACACTTCCAACTGGTTATTTTCTCCATTTCCGTCTCAAGTTTTGGTTTTTGTCATGGGAAAGGAGGTGATCCATTGTGGAAATCTTATTTTGAAAGCACATGCAATGGCTGAGTATCTAAGAAAGTCTGGATGTTAAACACTCGATCTATGTAGAATCCGGCCCAATGTTTCACACTGACTTAAATCCTAGATCGATTTGCTATGTTGTTTTCCCCGCTAATTTTTTTTGAAGAACTTTGTGTTATTGTCCGTTTTTGTTGAAATGTTTCTGGTATAACGAGGTCAAACATTCCCTTCCTTGTCTTTTTCCGTAAAGGTTTGTGGTCCTAATGTGTAATAAGAGTACACCAACTTTACTCTATGCCAAATTATATTTTTTTGTTCATCACCATGGCATTAGTTACATAGCATCCTAAAGTAAAAATTGTATAAGCCAAAACAAAGATCAGCCCCTTTTCACAAGAATTTACCATGTGTACGTGTAGCATACCCCCCTTATTCGTCAACCTCATATTACTGTTGCGATTGAATGTGCTCTCAAAGTTGATGTAGTGTTGGACTTGTGTTACTGTTGTGGAGACCAGCACTACCAAGCCACAACCTGCAGCCCTGGATGGATGATCAACAACATTTCAGAACGGTCCATATATTTCATACATTTGTGTATATCAGTCTTTTTATAATCTCAAAGTAGCTGTATAACTTACTGTGGAAAATAACACTACTTGTATGTATTCACTAATTTTGAACAGTTGGAAACACTATTGATGCATTTTGAAAGTAAACCTGGCTGTAGGCTTTAAAATCAAGAACTTGTGTTTTAGACTTGAACGTGTATTCACAAATTGTCATAGTATGGTGCCTAAATGTATGTTAAAAGTAATAAAAGATGCTCTGCACACTACATACTGATATTTGTTGGATGAAGAACATAAAAACATTTCTTGTGCATTTCTTTCTGATAAACATTTTGGTATTGTTGGATTGAGGTACAACAGTAATAGAACATTTGTATAGAATGAAATGTGATTGAAGAATGCAGGATTTTGTAATGTGCATTTTGAATAACTAACATTTACAGAATGAGAATAAATGCATATTCCAAGGTTAATGATTTGATTTGTTTGGAGAATTTTTTCAGTTTAAAGATGGTGTATCTGAAATGTTAGTTTAAAAGACAAACATGCTTTCGTCTCATTAGAAAACCTTCTCTTTTTGACACTTTGGGCTGAGGATTGATTGGCACAGCGGGTGTCAAATTTCCATTTTACATGCATGTCCAAAAATATGTGCATTTGAAACCTTGTGATAGAACAATTGAAAGTTAGGTACCCCTGCTTTAAGTAACGCCTAAAACCTTGCCGTGTCCTCCACATCGGTACTTGGCTACATCTGAATTCAGAAAGAACCATCTATATTATCCTTCATTGTGCTTTACAATTGACTTTTGCAAGCTCCAGGTTTGAGCAAGATAAATGTAATGTTTTGGGGGGGATTTTTACCACAAAGGTCAATAAAATGAAAAGAAAGGAGGAATTCTTTGTTGAATTTGGGCGACGGCCTTTCTCTTTTGATTCCATGCTGATTGGTTGTCCTGGGAGACCGGAGGCATGACTTCCTGTTCCTAATTGAATCATAAGCAACACCTGCCTACAGTAATAGCTCTTTTATGTGGCCTTCACTCAGACCACCAAGTTCCAGTGGTTCACTGTTAAAAGCATTATTTTTGCTGTAGTTAATTTTTGGTTTGTTGTTCATGTGCCCCAATGGCTTGTAGTAACAACAGGAACAACGTTGTTTTATTATTTTTGGGTCTCCTAAGTTTTGTTTGTCATTGTACACATCTTACAAAAAGGAAACGCCAAGAAAATATATCGTTTCTGAGTGAGGCACGTCACTGGCGCCATGGGAAACTGTTGATAGGACAAAAACTTGAACAAAGTATGCCATCTTCAGGTGAAGTCAAAGAACTTGACTTGGACTATCAGTCAGATATGGGTAAGTTAGATTTTAATGTTTTCTCTTGGTGCTCAAACTTTATTACAAAATCCTGTTTTACTATTGCTTGTCAGTGTGGGAAGTTCCGGGCCTGCAACCAGAAGAATATGGCTTTCCAAATTCTGACAACAATGCACTGGAACGACTTCTGAAAATGGAACCAACAGTGGACTGCTCTGGGAGCCACATGAGACTTAAAGTACAAGATGCTGAATACAAACCAGGTTCTCTCCTTTTTGTGGACCGAGGTACGCAGCTTGATAATGTTAATTTATCTGGAGCGGGCATGTCCAAGCTAAGGCACACGAGCAAATTGCGGTCCTCTGTGTCCTGTTATGTGGCCCTCTGACGCCAACATAAAGTTGCTGGGGCGATCATAAGTTCAGCGTCATCCAGCCCATTTTGGCATCACCAATATGCTTGTTATAGCATATACTGATACCATGTATAAACAAATTATACATGGTATCGTCAAACCATTAACCTATCGTTTGAAACGGGACAATTTCCAAATAAAATATAAATGGCGAAAGTTATCCCAATATAACACCTTCACCAACTATCGACCTGTCTCTTTCCTCCCAGTTTTCTAAAATCTTAACCGTAGATAAGAGAATTTTCTAGAGAAACATACTTTATTAAATGAAGGTCAATATGGTTTTAGGGCAGCCAGTTCAACATCTATGGCCATAATTGATGCTGTAGAAGAAATCACAAATAGTATAGATGGAAAAAAATATGCAGCTGTAGTTTTCACTGATTTGAAAAAGCATTCAACACTTATAATATATTGGTGAATAAATTATATAGATATGGTTTAAGAGGAGTGGCTTTGAGTTAGATTCAATGCTATTTATCTAGGAGAAAACAGTTGAAGATGGGTGAGTTTAAATATGGAGTATACAATAACTCGATGTTTTGTCCTTCATTTGTTGCCCATGTGTGGGTACATCATGGTACATGCAGTGCTTTCTGTATTGTGCAGAAAGTTTATGGAGCTATTGTTTCAATAATTGTGTGTGCGTAACCAGATTTGTGTGTGTAAAATAAATATTTGTGCGTGTGTAAATAGATTTGTATGTACGTATCAAGATTTGTGTGTGTAAAGAGAAAAAAAAGTACGTTTTACACTTTTTTTTTTTTTACACACTAATCTTTTGACGCAGTCCTGCCTTCGCAGATTTGCAAGTGTAACTTGGACTGTGTGCGGCGTAAACAGATTTGTGTGTAATTTGACATTTGTATCTGTAGCAGAACAATCTGTGTAAATAACCGCGTTGTACGAAGAGAACGGAAAAAAGCCTAAGTGCTACGCACAGGCTCTATTTTACACACAAATCTTTTTGACACACCTCTGCCGCTTAGCGTGTCAAAAAGATTCGTAAGTGTAATGTGGTTGTTCTAGCAGTACACCAGCAGATGGTGCTGTTGTAGCTGGTTAGGCTCTTTTCCGTTCTTCTCTTCGTACAACGCGGTTATTTACAGATTGTTCTGCTACAGATACAAATGTCAAATTACACACCCAAATCTGTTTACGCACGCACACAGTCCAAGTTACACTTGCAAATCTGCGAAGGCAGGACTGCGTCAAAAGATTTGTGTGTAAAAAAAAAAAAAATAAACTTGTACGTTTTACACAAGTTTTTTTCTTTACGCACACACAAATGTCTTTTACACACACACAAATCTGGTTACGCACGCACAATTCTTTTTACACATGCACAAATATTATTGAAACAATAATAGCTCCATAAAAGTTATTTTGTTTTGCCTCAATTCATAGCACAAGCTGATATGAAGAAAATTACTCGCATATCCAAAATCAATATTTTTTTACGATCAATGTTGTTGCTAAAGTAGCCCTCAGACTTTATTTTATTATTTTTTTTCAGGTAACCTCTCTCCTCTTTCACTTTCTAAATTGCCCAAAAGCTGTGGTTATATGGTCGGCTCGACAAATAGAGATCTAGTTGTGACAGCGCCTTATGATGGTTGCTTTGTTGTTGTTGAAGTAAGTACACATTGTCCAAATTTTTGTACACATCTTTAGTGTTTATGCATTTTGTATTTTTAGGAGGCCTGCTATGTGCTTCATCTGCGGTGGTTGGGATTGCCAGTACAAATGTCTTGCCCTTCCAGTCAGCACGTGTCTCACTCCTCTTCAGACCCTCCTATGGTGACCTGCCATGCCGGGGGAATGGTGGTAAAAACTGACAGGACAATGGAACTTTCAGAAATCAAAGTGAACTGTAAGTGTTTTTCCGTATGCTTTCTACTTCCTCTAATACAGCTAACCTGTTAATCTGTGATCTTCTCAGTGAATGGCTACTGGGAGCCTCTGAAGAAAGTCTTGTCAATGTGTGGCTTTAGTGCAGTTAAACATCTTGAGGGCATTACGATCAACCTTCCCTATATACCCTGCATGGAGAAAAAAGTAAATGTTAGAAATTGTTCTAGTTGATGTGCTATACATTATGATTGATCACTTTTTTTCAGGATGGAATTTATAGTCTCCAATTGTTAATGGGCAATGAGAACTACAATGAAGCAGACGAAGTAAAGGTCTTCTGCCCTGCTCTTGCGTCACCTGACCCTTCAAAACCGATGAAGGACATTGGACAGTCTACACACAGACCTACACCCACTCAACATGTGATGGTCACTTCCCAAGTACAGGATAATCCTTCTAATACGCCCAAACGTGACCCAGCCAAATTATGGAACGAGTACTTCAACAATTACATACAAACTAGAGATTCTCAGCTGACAGCTTCCCAGCCAACTGCTTCTCAATCAAGTTATGATCACATGACACCACAACCTCATCCAGGGCATATGTCACATGAACGATATCACTATTCCATTCCTCCTGGGCTCCCTCAAGCGGCTCGTCCACCTCAGCCCGGAAGCCCCTCAAGGGACACAACTCGACCAAACCAACCGTTGCATTTCCCAGAGCGTCACATAGATTATCCCTTTTATTTTCCACATGAGCCGATAAAGCCCACAACTGCTCCTGAGACCACAAGTAAGGTGCCACCCTTTTATCCGTACAATGTTTACTATCCCACTGTGCAATCGGAAACTTCTGCCACTGCCAGTCCAAAGCCAACAGTTCCTCAACAATATCAAGTGTATGGTCCATATTACTACCCCTTTCCTTCAGAGAACCCACCTCATACAACTAAAGCTCCCACCCCCTTTACACATAAACCAGCAGACTTCTCCACGCCATGTCCAGGAGCAGTAGTTTGCCCTCAAAATTCTAATACTGAATCCATACTATCAGCGGACTGTGTCCAGTATTGCTATCTAGGGCTTCCTAATTGCTGTCCTCAAATAGCATTCCATCACCATATGTACCACTTTGTGCCACATGATCAAATTGGCATTTCAAATCCCAAGTTATTCCCTCTGCCAGGACTACCAAATGGATTTTTCTATGCTCCCTCGCAAGGCCAGGAGGGACTCGCCCATCCAATCGTCTCAGAATTCACTAATCTACATGTATCACAGTGGGTGAATCCACTCGGACAGAATGAAAGGCTGATATACAACAGGCCACTTGAGGGCAACAGTGCTGTGTCTGAAAACAAGCCTGGAGAGCAGACTGAGCAGAGAGCAGCCCAACTGCCTTCTCATTTTGAACCCAATGTTTACCCATATAGTGTTGATGTGAATCCTCGAAGCAGTCACTATTCTGTATCGCCTTCATCTTACTCTGAATATGTTGACCAACAGTTAAGAGGCATGCAGTTTAATGCAGTGTCTTCCCATCAGTCTGATGGCCCACCGGCACAAAATAGCTTGTTGGGGATGAATCAGTTTGTAAGTCAGACAGATAATAACAATGTGAAGGGCACAGGTTTAGTTTTCCATAGTGAACCAGATCATCAACACCCTGTTCCAGAACAAAAAAACTTGCCTAGTCGCCAATCTGCTGATTCACTGAGAAGGACAGCCAAACGTGAGGAGACGGGGAGCTTTTCATCTGCACTAAGAAATTATGTGCTCCTTAAACAAGGTCCTCCGGGCAGAGCGGGTACCATGGCACAGTCCCGGTCATTCGACCCTGTGCTTTTGGAGCCTCAAACCAAAGAGAAATATGAAAACTTAAAACTACCTGGAGAAAAGACTTCTACTCCCTCCAATTTGGCATCTTTGGCGCAAGCACCTGCTGTTGGAGAGGCAATATTTGATGCCAGATTTTCACAATTGCATCACTCAACTTCTGGGCATAGGACTTCTCAACAAGATCCTCCACTAATTACATCACACCTGACGGATTTCAAAGGCAATGTATGTGACACTCACTATTAATGTGTCTGCATTGCAAGACTAACAATGTTTGTCTTTCAGGATTGACGCAGTCTACAAATTCCATTCACGGGAAAGTGCAGCAATTAAATATTAAACATGTTTTGCTTACAAACTTGGGTTGCCTTCCTTTATCACATGCATTTTGAGAAACTTTGAACAGTATCAGTCATTGAGTTCATTTAAGTCAATGTAGATTTACCAAAAGTCAAACAAAGGTTTTGCAAGTGCTCATGTGGACCTTTTGTAATGTGAGGCTTGAGCTTTTAAAGAAACTGTTCTGCCTATAATTTAATGACAATTAATAAATGGTAGAATGAATTTACTGGAGACTTGACCGATTCATTTAAAAGTATGGATTGTTTATTTTAAATTCCTACATCAATCAAAGAATCTAATTCTCCCTGGACAAACTGGCACCATAAGTACTGGGGAGTCGTGAGTAACAGAGCTGTTGGACTCCACTGCAGCAAGATCCCTCTTGAACAGTTCCCGACTGTTTGAATCTGTGGCTACCTCAGCCTGAGTGAGGTCTGCAGATGAAGCGGGAGTTTCAGAAGCTGCAGCAGGAGTTTCAGAAGCTGCAGCAGGAGTTTCAGAAGCTGCAGCAGGAGTTTCAGAAGCTGCAGCAGGAGTTTCAGAAGCTGCAGCAGGAGCCACAGGCACGACCTCAACAGACTCTGCTGACTCGGCCGACAAGAGGGTGAAGGGGTCATGGAGAGCTGTCAGCTTGTGATGTCGCAGACCATACACTGTTGAAAGGTTACCGCTATGAGCATGGACTGCTGGAGTTCCTAGTGAAGTGCTATTATCTACCACAGATATCTAAAAAAAAAAAAAAAAAAAAAATTAGCAACCTACAATCGTTTTTTATAAAACTTTTGATTTCTGCATAACTACCAAGTTGGGGAACATCTTGCAGTCTATAGAATGCTCAGAATTCAATCCTTTGGCAGAACAAATGCCACGAACCTGCAGAATGATGGTTGCATTCATTGACTATGTTTATGATACCATAAATGTTGTTTTTAGCACTTACAGCCATCGCATCATTTAGGGGCTCACAGACAGAACCAGTACAGCTGGCCTCCGTAACGATGTATTCAGCCAAATAGATTGGCCTGCCAAGCACATTCTGGCAAATGCTTTGAGTTGGTATCCCAAAAATCAATATAATTTCAACAGTTTTGAATTGCAAACCTGTGATGACATTCTTCCAACTTCCAGTAGGGAGAAAGTCACATTCTCTGTCATGTTGTTAAATGTACCCAAAGAGGCCAGAACAAAATCCAGGGCTTTGGTATCATTTAGAGGGAGTAGGGTAGGACAACCCAGGCAAAGGTCTTCTCTTGACTCTATTTTATAAAAATCAATTTATTTTATCAATATATATATATGTGTGTGTGTATATATATATATATATAATATACATATATTTTTTTTACATTATCAAGAATACACATTACCTTCAGTTTTACACTTAAATGCTGTAACCGTTAAAGCACCACTGATGTTTTTTAGGACCACATCACAGTCTCCCTCCACTGCCTAAACAGTGAAACATTTTCATTTTTATTGAATTCTGTTTCTCTGCGAGCTGCACTACTTTCTCACCGTCAGTGCTTTTGGCCGAACTGTGCAGTTAATTATTGGTGTGGGGTCAAACACATGACAGTCTGTCTGCAGAAGTTCAATCTCCATGACATACAGATCTCCACCCGGCTAAAGGAAAGTAAATGCAAGAGCTGTAGTTAGAAGGAAATACCACGTTAATAAGTATAGAACAAGCAACTGTTGTACCTTTGTAATGATCTTTATGTCTTCAATCCTGTTGAGCGCATATTTATAGCCATGACTGTGCTGAGCATTGAGGTAGTCCTGGGCCACCAGTGCAGCTCCCTCTGCCTCTGGAGAGTCACACTCTGGATGCACAACATTGATTTGGGCCCATGTCCCCCACAGTAGTCCCAACGCCACAGCAAAACTCAGACACTGCATTGCTTTTGGTCACTTAGGCAAGAATGCTGCAAACAGATATGGGGCTCAGGCAAACAGGATTATATATTGGCTGCCTTCAACACAAGGTAACAGCCAAAGTAAACATTATAACACACTGCTTCTGCGTCACTTTGGGGTCATAGGCTGCCATTAGAATATTCTCTCATTAAAAACAAAAATCATGCAAAATACTTTATATAAGGAAAATACATATATTGCAAGTGAATAATTATGCAATCAGGCTTCAAAGATAGTGTACAATAAATTGATAATGAATGAAGGTTATATAAATAACTTAGTGGGCTCATAGTGAATGATCAGCCACTGTTTCATTGAATCCTCATCAAAGGTTCAGAAGAAGGATGTTTGTTCGGAATATTTGTTTAGTCTTGACAAAGAGTCGTTTAAGGGCACAGCTTTTCCTATAGGCTGAGGTGGGTTTTTTTCTTTATTTTTGATTTACTGCAAGGTGACCTTCTCAAGAGATAAGAATTCCAGTTACAATTAAATACATGAAAGTTAAACCAAATTAAAATATTGGCAAAAGTCATATATGGATCCCCCTAGCAAAATGATGGCTCTTGGGTGAAATGCAACCCTTGGCCCATTGGAGGTAGAAAATCTACAGTTGATGGGCCTTCTGCTGATCTGACCTTAATGATTGAGAAGTAGGCTACCTACCTGTGATTATAAATATGGGTATTTACACCATAACAACAACATCACATCACACTGTGATGAGCAAAGATAGAAGATAGCGGTGACTGGTTGAATAGCAGGATGGATTGTGGCATGAACGTGCTCTTGTACCGCTCACTGTTGCAGCGGAGCGGAGTCTGTTTTAGAAGGAGCTCCTTTGCCCCTCTATAGTCCGGTGGAGTGGATGTGTTGGGTTGTCCATGACGGAGAGCATTATTTCCAGTGACCTTCTGTCTCTCATTGTTGTAAATGTCTCCAGCTGACAGCCAATCACCTGTCCAGCTATACAGATCAGCTTGTCAATCCGAGAGCGGTCCCTTTGGGGGTACTGCTCCCCCAGCAGACCACAGTGTAGAAAAGGGCACTGGAGACCACATACAGTACTGGACAGTTTGCTGCACACATGGAAGGATCTGAGCTTCCTCAACTCAGATCTAAGAAAAATTATAATACCAAATGAAAAGTGGGCAGAGACATTTGGAGAAGGACATGCAAGCTTTGTCAGTGCTACTTGGAGGGAGTTTGAGTGGAAATTAAAATCGGGCTTCTTCCTGGTACCACTACATGTTTTCAAATCTAACAATGTGCCCAGCACAGGCTGGAGAGGTCAAACAGGTGATAACAAACACATCTTTTGGAACTGCCCTAAAATTATGGAATGCTGGGAAACACTCAAAAACAGACAAAAGTCCAGTAATAAAAAAAATTATATAAGCTTATTATAAATCATAACTTGAGCCCCATAGCCCTAAGGTATTACTATTATTTAAAAGTGTTTTGGGATGAGTGGGTTGAATGCCCTAAAAGCTATTGAAGAAAAACAGGTATTTTTAACCAACAAAATAATTTTAACATTTTAAATGCTTTTAAGAACGATTTCAAGGGCTGAGCCCCATAGCCCTCATTTAGTACTATTATTTAAAAGTTGTTTGGAGTAAATGGGTCAAATGCCCTAAAAGCTATTGAAGAAAAACTGGTATTTTTAGGCACAAAATAATTTTAAAAGCTTTTAAGAACAATTTCAAGGGCTGAGCCCCATAGCCCTCAGGTAGTACTATTATTTAAAAGTGGTTTGGAGTAAATGGGTCAAATGCCCTAAAAGCTATTGAAGAAAAACAGGTATTTTTATCCAAAAAAAATCATTTAAAAATGTTAAAAGCTTTTAAGAACAATTTCAAGGGCTGAGCCCCATAGCCCTTAGGTAGTACTATTATTTAAAAGTGGTTTGGAGTAAATGGGTCAAATGCCCTAAAAGCTATTGAAGAAAAACTGGTATTTTTAACCAAAAAAATCATTTAAAAATGTTAAAAGCTTTTAAGAACAATTTCAAGGGCTGAGCCCCATAGCCCTCATTTAGTACTGTTATTTAAAAGTGGTTTGGAGTAAATGGGTCAAATACCCTAAAAGCTATTGAAGAAAAACTGGTATTTTTAACCAAAAAAATCATTTAAAAATGTTAAAAGCTTTTAAGAAAAATTTCAAGGGCTGAGCCCAATAGCCCTCATTTATTACTATTATTTAAAAGTGGTTTGGAGTAAATGGGTCAAATGCCCTAAAAGCTATTGAAGAAAAACAGGTATTTTTAACCAAAAAAATCATTTAAAAATGTTAAAAGCTTTTAAGAACAATTTCAAGGGCTGAGCCCCATAGCCCTCAGGTAGTACTATTATTTAAAAGTGGTTTGGAGTAAATGGGTCAAATGCCCTAAAAGCTATTGAAGAAAAACAGGTATTTTTAACCAAAAAAATCATTTAAAAATGTTAAAAGCTTTTAAGAACAATTTCAAGGGCTGAGCCCCATAGCCCTCAGGTAGTACTATTATTTAAAAGTGGTTTGGAGTAAATGGGTCAAATGCCCTAAAAGCTATTGAAGAAAAACTGGTATTTTTAACCAAAAAAATCATTTAAAAATGTTAAAAGCTTTTAAGAACAATTTCAAGGGCTGAGCCCCATAGCCCTCATTTAGTACTGTTATTTAAAAGTGGTTTGGAGTAAATGGGTCAAATGCCCTAAAAGCTATTGAAGAAAAACTGGTATTTTTAACCAAAAAAATCATTTAAAAATGTTAAAAGCTTTTAAGAACAATTTCAAGGGCTGAGCCCCATAGCCCTCAGGTAGTACAATTATTTAAAAGTGGTTTGGAGTAAATGGGTCAAATGCCCTAAAAGCTATTGAAGAAAAACAGGTATTTTTAACCAAAAAAATCATTTAAAAATGTTAAAAGCTTTTAAGAACAATTTCAAGGGCTGAGCCCCATAGCCCTCAGGTAGTACTATTATTTAAAAGTGGTTTGAAGTAAATGGGTCAAATGCCCTAAAAGCTATTGAAGAAAAACAGGTATTTTTAACCAAAAAAATCATTTAAAAATGTTAAAAGCTTTTAAGAACAATTTCAAGGGCTGAGCCCCATAGCCCTCAGGTAGTACTATTATTTAAAAGTGGTTTGGAGTAAATGGGTCAAATGCCCTAAAAGCTATTGAAGAAAAACTGGTATTTTTAACCAAAAAAATCATTTAAAAATGTTAAAAGCTTTTAAGAAAAATTTCAAGGGCTGAGCCCAATAGCCCTCATTTATTACTATTATTTAAAAGTGGTTTGGAGTAAATGGGTCAAATGCCCTAAAAGCTATTGAAGAAAAACAGGTATTTTTAACCAAAAAAATCATTTAAAAATGTTAAAAGCTTTTAAGAACAATTTCAAGGGCTGAGCCCCATAGCCCTCAGGTAGTACAATTATTTAAAAGTGGTTTGGAGTAAATGGGTAAAATGCCCTAAAAGCTATTGAAGAAAAACTGGTATTTTTAACCAAAAAAATCATTTAAAAATGTTAAAAGCTTTTAAGAACAATTTCAAGGGCTGAGCCCCATAGCCCTCATTTAGTACTGTTATTTAAAAGTGGTTTGGAGTAAATGGGTCAAATGCCCTAAAAGCTATTGAAGAAAAACAGGTATTTTTAACCAAAAAAATCATTTAAAAATGTTAAAAGCTTTTAAGAAAAATTTCAAGGGCTGAGCCAATAGCCCTCATTTATTACTATTATTTAAAAGTGGTTTGGAGTAAATGGGTCAAATGCCCTAAAAGCTATTGAAGAAAAACTGGTATTTTTAACCCAAAAATAATTTTAAAAGCTTTTAAGAAAAAATTCAAGGGCTGAGCCCCATAGCCTAGAGGTAGTACAAATTTTGTAAAGTGTTTTGGGGTGACTGGGTCAAATGCCCTAAAAGGTATTGAGGAAAAACCCATACTTTATATAAAAAAATCCTTGAAAAATACACCAAATCTATTAAGCATAATTTCATGGCCTGAGCCCCATAGCCTAGAGGTAGTACAAATTTTGTAAAGTGGTTTGGGGTGACTGGGTCAAATGCCCTAAAAGGTATTGAGGAAAAACCCATACTTTCAATCAAAAATCCTTGAAAAATACACCAAATCTATTAAGCATAATTTCATGGCCTGAGCCCCATAGCCTAGAGGTAGTACTAATTTTGTAAAGTGGTTTGGGGTGACTGGGTCACATAACCATAAACCTATTGAAAAAAATATTGTATTTTTTGGTGATTTTCCAGGATTATGATTTTTCTAAAGTTTCAAAACATGAAAATAGGAATAAAAACGTGTGGTAAATATTATTTACTTTGCTGGTTCACATGATTCCGAATATAGGCTTATTGAAAATATATAGGCTACATTCAACAGTAGGTATAAAATACTATAATATTAAATGTGGTAGAAAATACACCTAAAGATTACATTTAATCTATCTCTTTTCATTAAAATTGTTTATTTGTATCATATTATTGATTTACACCTAAACTACATTTTTTACAAAGACAGTAATTCATAGACGGTCCCTGAGCTTAGTGCTGGAGGCGAATATCCAACGTCCAACGTGAAACCAACTTCACCGCGGTCATGCAACGGTACATTACAAACAGTAATACAGTACTAGCACCAATAATAAAAGACAGACAACACAAAACACAGGCCCAAACACTCTCCGACCCTACACCTCTCTCCCACTACTTGCTCTGTGCATTATTCTCCAATACCTCTTTTTTAAACATTCTTTTAAATGTGATCAGGTTTGAGCATGTCTTTAATTCATCTGATAGATCATTCCAAACAGCTCCACGCACTGTCTGAGACACACATTGATTTTAAAGTAGTTCTACATTAAGGTACATACCTTTTTACTGCCTTTAAAGTTTAAGTCTATAATTATGATGAGCATCTCGATCATGGAATAGGTTCTGTAACTTAGATGGCAGAGTTTTCAGATTCCAGGAACACTATTTGAGCAGTTTTAAATGTAATCACATCTTGCATTTTCAGTTCTCCTAAATCTATGTACAGAGGGTTCGAATGATGTCTATAATGAGCATTTGATGCAATACGATTAGGCTTTTTTTGAAGGGTAACTAAAGGCTTTAAGTGAGATTTACAGCAGTTTCCCCAAACTTCCACACAATAATTGAAATATGAAATAATGAAAGAACGATACAATAACAGTAGAGCATTTGTGTCCAGTGAGTGACTTGCTCTCCTCCAACATATTTAGCAACCTTTGTCCTCTGGTAACTAATGTGGGGCTTTCAAGAAATCTTTTCATCTATCATAATTCCTAGGAACCGTATACATGCCACACAACATACATTTACACATCCTTGTTTGTTTGTTTTTGTGGTAAATTTACTGCTTTTTGTTGTTACATAGACACATAGTATCATGTTGTTGAATATTGTTTCTTTCAGGTATTCCTGTCCCTGCTGTGTATTTTGTGGACCACAGCTCTCACTGTATTTTCTTGGAGGAAATAGTGGATTCGTGCACCGTCAGGGACCACATCGCCTCGGCCCAGCTCCAGCCGGAGGGACAGCAGCAGCTGGAGCGGCTGGCTGACAGAATGGGCCACATGTTGGCACGACTGCACGACGAGGACCTGGTCCACGGAGACCTGACCACGTCCAACATGCTGCTTAAAGCTCCTTCAGATGGGGGTGAGGGGCAGCTGCTGCTCATAGACTTTGGTCTGAGTTACATCTCTGCTTTAGCCGAGGACAAGGGGGTGGACCTGTATGTTCTGGAGAAGGCTTTCCTCAGCACACACCCCAACACTGAAGTTCTGTTTGAAAGGCTTCTGCGGAGCTACACGAAGGCCTCCAAGAAGTCTGGACCGGTCATCAAGAAGCTGGACGAGGTGCGGTTACGAGGGAGAAAGAGATCCATGGTTGGATAACCACTATGTAAATGACACCTGCAACAATTTATTCATAAATCTTATGGTTTGATATTTTTTGCTTTTCACCTTGAAATAATAGCCATTATACCTTTTTATTAGGCGCCAATATACCGTACAACATGAGATAATACTTTGTGAAACCCCGCTTTTGCTGCAATCACAGCAGCAAGTTTTTTGGTCGACAAGCGTTGCACTAGACCAAAAGTTTTGGACATTTTGTCTTTTCAAAACAATTTTGGGGTTTTTCCACAGATTTTTACTTGCATTTGGGTTGTTGGGTTGAAAGTGGAAAGATTACTGGAGTTACGTTCAGTCCGCTGTTATTGAAAAAGGGATTTTCAATCACGAGAAAGCTCCTTTGATTATAACATGAGGTCAAAATGGCTTGTACCATCTTCAAGAATACAATAAATCAAATAACACATATATTCCAGGACAATAGTGTTTAATACATACAGTAGTTTATTCACAGACGTGGTTTTCTATATTTCTTTTTTATTGACACACTCATAACATAATCTGTGTGGCTGGCATAGACCAAAACCAGACATGTACCAAGATCAGACCCAGACCAAAACCAAGATCAGTGTTGTGGTGTCTGGGATTCTTATAGATGTTTGAAAAGGCCAGAGATCAGCACAGTACTGCAAACTGCGGAAACTGAAAAAGTTATTTTGTTCAGCAGCACAATGTGACGTGGTTTTTAAACAAGACTGTGTGACAGCAAGAGAAAGTATTGGGGAAAAGAACATGACAATATTGGCGTTCATCTGAGGTACTTTATAGCTTCCATCATCCAGAGAATTGAACATCGGTCCCGATCAGCATGTAATCCTACAGCAGAGCAGAGGAGCGTCAGAGCCTGAATCCACCACATGAAAACACTGGAGCGAGCACTGACCTTCACGATCTGCAGCTGGGTGTTTACAAGTTTAATCTTTCCAATCGTAGGAAGTGGAAATCCCTTAGAAAGTTGAGCTGCAATAAAAATAAATAAAATGGACAGGTCGTAGCAATCTTTTCCAACAGCCTTACTTGGCCCAACACTACTGTACTTAGTTCCACTCTACCCCAATTGGCCCTTGTGGGTTGTAGGTAGAGCTGAGTAAGGTTGGTGGAAATGGGGCTTTAGAGTAAGGCGTCTGTGCAAATATTTTTAAGTAATAGTAATATTTTTTAGATGAAAGGGTCATCTTTTAACAATACACTTGTTTCTTTCATTTTTAGTGTTTTTTTTTTAAGCTGCCTTCCTTTTGACATTTGAAAATATACTTCCTCATTTCAGTTTCAAAATCAGGTTCTTCTGCTTTTGAAAACATTAAAGCACGTTCACATTAGACTTCGTGACTGCTGTTATGATCTTACGTACCATTTATTTTTGGGATGACCACACGCTTTAGAACCATTTGGAAGATTGTGTCCAGTAATGTCACCTGTTTGATGCAAAATACATTAATTTAGATCAACATTTCTCATTTAAAGAATGAAAAAAGAAATAAAACCGTAAAATTAAATTATCCAGAGAGTAAAAGTGGCTGTGCGATTGTGTTTCACAGCCAGACGGTCCTGGGTTTGATTCCACCACCAGATGCGGCCATTCGGTGTGGAGTTTTGCATGTTCTCCTCATGCCTGCGCCCTTAAAAACATACCTATGCCAGACCACCTAAACAAATAGGACTGAGGATGGGTCTTACCTGAAAATCACCAACGTAACTTGTCCCCAAAGTTAAATCCATTCTGTGCAAATGAGAGCAAATAAAATGTATTTTCTTTTTTCTATTTGAAGAGTTCTTATGCAAAAATAGATATCTCCGTTTTGAAATTGTCCAAACATTGTATTCCTCAAGTTACAATCTTCAGCATGTTCCGTTAATGGCAGTACACTTGAAGGAATTTGCGCAAGAAGGGAGGCAACGAAAATAGATCTGGTTTTTCACAAAACTTGTAAAGCTTTTCTGATATGTTTCCATGGCATTTATCTGTTTTTGCATATAACTATTCATTTATTTTAGTATATTTTTGAACCACTGACTTGTTGAGGACGACAGACCCAGCCAGCCTTGTTCCTCTGACAGAAACTTGTGCGCTGACGCTGCCGTTCTGAAGTAAATCAAGCAAACATTAAAGCAGATTTGAATGTGTGAAGTCTGTGTGTATTATTTAGTTCGACAGATTCCTTATTTACCATGTTGAGCACAAACAAGAGGGAGAGCGTCCCATTGACTTGGATGGCGAAGGCCGTCACTGTTGCTGTCGTTTGGATAGTTGCGTCGTTGGATTCAAATGCAATTACGGGGCTTTTTACTGCCTTAACCAGCAACTTCATCATCAAACCAGGGAATCGTTTGGAAATCTGGTATAAGATGAAAAACAAAAGTGCACAGTGGTTATATGGCAGAAGGAAGGGAAGCCAGACAGTTGTCAGGTTGCACAAAAGAAAGCGAAGAGCGAGATTACCTGCGGAATGAGTGCGCCGAACGTTCGCGTGGTGAGTCTGATGGGGGAGCTCGCAGGGATCTGTTTGGAACGAGAATATAAATGCTAACTTTGGAAAGCCTAGGCTGTTTTTAAATTTGCTTTACGAATACATATGGATTAATATGGATAAACATTGATATTGCATAAGGAACCAATCGCGACAGTGAAACATCTCCATCTGGTGGTAGAAGTGGGAAATTACGTTTGGGTATTTAAAGTCAACATCAAAGTTTAGTGCAGACTTATTATATACAGTATTATATACATTTGCATAATAGTTTAAACAAAGCTTATCGTGCGTGTGCAACATAGTATTGATAACGGCATATTGTTCTTGGTTTAAGTAGACGCAGCTCACCATGTCATCAGTGATGTAGAGGCTGAGGGCTCCGGCTGTGGTGTAAACAAAACCTGCAGAATTGGCAATGTAAGAAGACAGGCCGATGTACAGCATGGTGTCGTTCGAGGACGGCAATGAGAAGACTGCTGGGGTGAATGGGGGCTCCTGGTGCTTCCCAATATTGTAGAATTCCCCCTGATTATGCAAAAGATATATATGAGCTCAAGGATAAACAGGAGGTAAGAGAAAAGTATCTTTGAAAATGTACCTTCAAACTTAACTCCACAGAAGACGTTGAGATGACGGGCGACGACACCATTGAATACTCGATCTCTGCGTATTCGTCTACTTTGGCCAAAACTGCAGAATATTTCAAGTGACATTGAATGACATTTGTGTAATCAAATGAAACTACAATCATACACATCAGCATGTGTTTTACCATTGAGAGTTTTCAAATGAGGATTTACATCAGATATGGAGTCAGCCACCAGGGGGCAGATCTGAAAAACACGCTCTCTCCTGGTCAGACTGAGCAGTTGAATTGGGATGTTGTTGTGACTAAAACTACAACACGGTACTTTGACAGGGAATTAGATTAGAATATCTCGCACACACACATGCGTCAATATTTACATTTTTAATTAAACAAATAACTTAATCATGAACAGCATAGTGTGCCACACTACACATTTTGTAAAAGATTGAAGAAATCTTCACAAAATGTTCAATCTGTTCAAATGTTTAGTGCAGAAATGAAAAAGACAGAACAAGTACTAGTCTGTTGAAAAAGAATTATAATTTCTGTTTCAAAGATCTTAAGAAGTACAAACTATTCACAGTATTAGTGTTTTTGGAAGAAGGGAAGTATTTGGTATTTTTAGTAGTTATACTGGAAGGAGAATGTGGGGTAGAATTACAGATATTTGGGGGTTGTCTAAGTTTTTTTTTTGGTCCTTGTGTAATGTCTGGTCTTGGTTCAGGTCTTGTTTTAGATCTGGACTTAGTCCTAGGTTTGGACTTGGGTCTGGGTTCAATACAGGTCACATGCAGGTCGGTGTAAAATGTTTCTCGGACAGTAAACATTGGTGAATATCTCACCTGTTTCTCCAAAGCACTTCGTAATGCTTTGTCAATGAAGTCCTTAAACAGGTTGTACAGCCAGCTGAAGAAAGTAACCGAGTTTAAACTTTTGGATGTCTGTGATTTCTCTTCTCCTGCAGGTTGTAGAGAATTACCTGGCTCCACCATGGAACTTGATGCTGACACTGCCCACAGCCGCAGAGCAGCTGCTGCCGCTCACTGTGGGGCGTCCTGTTTCGTCACTGTTGACCGCAATAGTTGTGGTAATACTCAGTCCTTTCACACTCAAATCAAAGGAGCCGCTGTCTTTGCTGTAAGCATAAGAAATGTAACAGAATGTATACTATGTGCAGCATGGTCTGTAACAGTATTATTTTTTTATTCTTACATGATGAAGTATTTGACCCTCCAGTTTCCATTCAGACTCATGAAGGCATTAGTCACAGAGAGTTTAACCCCAGCTCCTGGTTCCAGGCTCACAGATGACTGGGGCAGTCCAACATTGACTATGTGCATACTAGAGAGAGAACAATGTTATGAACAAATATGAAGATGAAGAGTAAATCTGTAAATCTGAATTCACTTTACTTTGTAAAACTGTATGTGACTTTTCCAATCGGTGCAATCCTCTGTGAACCAGACATATCTGGGAGTTTAATGGTTCGAAGTTTCTGTTGGATGGAAGCTATGCCAAGTTCTCGGCCTTCAGCAGACAAAGAGAAATATGATTAGTTAATATCAGTCATGTGGTGGCTGAATAGAAAGTCTCACCATATTCAAGGCCCTTTTGTGTGAGCTTGACCTTTACTCCTGGATTAATGGCAGATGCCAGAGTGGTCAGCGCCACAAGACACCAAATATGAAGCATCATCTTCAACATAAGAGGAAACGTCACGAGTTGTGGTTTTGATGAAGCCCATATAAATCAAAGATAGCACTTCTTCTATATGGCTTCTCAAATAACTTTCTATTTGATTTGTTGCAAAAGGCCTCGCTATCGTTATTGAAAAAACATATTTATGAAAAAAAGGGTTTATAAAACCATCAAGAGCCAAGCTTATAACACAATATATTTCAGTACGTACAGAATTAACTGAAAACTGTAATTTCAGTCCTGCATATGGGCGTGTTTTAACCATGTTATAAATATGTTGTAGACCAGGCCTACCTACATTTCATATGTAATTATGAAATGTGTTGTTTACTTTGGGGCTATTCCACATTCAGTTGCCAGTTCAGCAATAATTAGGCTTTAGAATTATATACCAATTATAAACCAAAGGTGAGAAATCAGGCTTTTCCTTTTACTGAATTAACGAAAATTACTTTTCGCACTCAGTCTACCACATAGAAAGAAAAGACATACATTTGGCCTCCTCTACACAGTTATCTCAGGTCTAAAACGAGGCGCACACAGATCTACAAGACGGCGTCATAAAGAGAACTAGTCAACACGCTAATATTTCACAGTGAATACAATGATATCAAAAAATTATCTTATTCTTACTTTGAGGAAGGGCCTGCGTCTGACTCCGAAGCGGACTGAGAGAAAAGGAGAGGCACATGGCTTTTAATTCACTTAAGAAATCAGGAACTCTGCTTTTGTACAAGGTCCCAGAGGAATGCAACACTGAGCAAATACAAATAGTCGGATATTGGCTCTTACTAGTCTGTGCAACCAACCAGTTTGATACGAATGTATTTATCTATTGAGCAACATATACACGCTCCTTATTCTCTCCTCCAGGGGACTATGTTTTCTTCTTGTTTGTCAGTTCGTTTGTTAGTTAGTATTTAGAACATTTGTTTGTTTGGCTGTTAGAAATTTTTTTTTATTAAAAAGTGGAAAAGGAACAAATTATTAGACATTTAGAGGTGATCCCGGTAAGAATTCATATTTACAGTCTATGGTCTCGATCCGGGGATCTTTTTGACCTGCGAGTCGTCTACGAGTGCTTTTCCGGTCTAAACTTCTGATCACTAAATAAATAAAATTCCTAACATTTGAAAGCTGTCTGTAAACTTATATAACATTTCTGCGCACAGAAGCACGTGGATTTGGAATATTTACATGTTGCACTTTCTTGAAAGGAGGAAGTGTATTACAGTCTTACACCTGCTGGGGGCTATGGGGTGCCGATTGTAAAAATTCTGTTAAAATTTTTTAGCTGAACATTTTTCTACATTTAGCTCACTTTCCTCACATTTAGCACATTTTCCTCACATTTAAGACATATCTATATCTAAATATTATATCTATATCTAAATGTTAAATGTTATATCTAAATATTATATCTATATCTAAATGTTAAATGTTATATCTAAATGTTATATCTATATCTAAATGTTATATCTATATCTAAATGTTAAATCTAAATGTTAAATCTAAATGTTAAATCTAAATGTTAAATCTAAATGTTAAATCTAAATGTTATATCTATATCTAAATGTTATATCTACATCTAAATGTTATATCTATATCTAAATATTATATCTATATCTAAATGTTAAATGTTATATCTAAATATTATATCTATATCTAAATGTTATATCTATATCTAAATGTTAAATCTAAATGTTAAATCTAAATGTTAAATCTAAATGTTAAATCTAAATGTTAAATCTAAATGTGTCGCCAAGTGTAAAGCTAAATATATAGAAACCACGCCCACTGCAGTGGCTTCAAATCCAGTGGGCCCGCCTTCCGTGCCGTGTGGTGAGTGGGGGCGGTGCCGCGTGTTTTGAACATAGGAATACACGTGGACCGACGTCACGGCTCAAGGCATGTTGGGTCTCCGGCGCCATCGTCCTTGGCCACGGCACAAAATTAGCATTTTTGTGAAGATTCTTGCTTATTTGCTGGAGCCAGAGTGTATTCACTGTAAACTAAGCCACGTGGAGTCCCGTGAGATTCCTGTGTAATCCTGTAGGGTTCTCACCACACTTTGAAGCCAGTTCAAGAATTTGTCCAAAAACTACCCGTAATGTTTCTTTCATTAAACTTAATTAACAAATTTCTTTCGTTTTTTGCAGAACATGTGAATAGACTTAACACTGTACAAATACAAATAATATAAAATACTGCAATAATAATAATAATAAAACAGTAGTGACAACATGCAACAACAATCTACTGCTCCCTCCTCTGAGCACATGAAATGATACTCTGCTCCATTCTCAGAGTTCCTGACTTCGGCCCGAGGGCCACTTTCGGCCACATCCGGCCACACATTTCTTTGCAGCCCCAGGACCCTTCCCAGCCATTAACCTCAAACCGGTCTGTTAATTATTTAAATAAATCAGGAGTATTTATCCGGTGAAGGCTTGTATTTTAACATGTTCTACCACGAATAAGGAACCCAACATTTGAACAGTAATCATTTGATAAAAATTAAACCAAAAATCCATATAAATATATACTGCAAAATTATATAAGAATTAACCAAGTGAAAATAGGTCGGACCCTCCACAATAGGGCCATATCCCATCGTGGCCCCCTGAAGGATGTAGCTGCCCACCCCTGTTCTTCAAGCAAATATTGAAACAACACATGCCACTGTGGACCTCCTGATAGCAGCTCGTTGGTTTGTCACTTATTGTTGCTTACAGTTGTTAAACGCTCATATAACTGTGAGGTGCAGACAGAGGCCAAGGTGCAGGCGGAGAGCGTCATAACCTCAGTGGAATGTGGAGCAACCCTCACTTGTGTTTTAGAGTCGTTCACAATGGTTTGAAATAAGTGGGCACCAATGGAGCTTCGATGGCACCTGAACGCTCTGATCACAGCCTTCGCTCTCTCTGAAGGTAAGTCATGTATAAGTCATGCTCTCTATGAAGGTAGGTCAGGTATAAGTCATGCTCTCTATGAAGGTAGGTCAGGTATAAGTCATGCTCTCTATGAAGGTAGGTCAGGTATAAGTCATGCTCTCTATGAAGGTAGGTCATGTATAAGTAATGCTCTCTATGAAGGTAGGTCAGGTATAAGTCATGCTCTCTATGAAGGTAGGTCAGGTATAAGTCATGCTCTCTATGAAGGTAGGTCAGGTATAAGTCATGCTCTCTATGAAGGTAGGTCAGGTATAAGTCATGCTCTCTATGAAGGTAGGTCAGGTATAAGTCATGCTCTCTATGAAGGTAGGTCAGGTATAAGTCATGCTCTCTATGAAGGTAGGTCAGGTATAAGTCATGCTCTCTATGAAGGTAGGTCAGGTATAAGTCATGCTCTCTATGAAGTTAGGTCATGTATAAGTCATGCTCTCTATGAAGTTAGGTCAGGTATAAGTCATGCTCTCTATGAAGGTAGGTCATGTATAAGTCATGCTCTCTATGAAGGTAGGTCAAGTATAAGTCATGCTTTCTATGAAGGTCAGTCATGTGTTTACTACTCCCTGCTCCACCGCGCTGCACAGCTCATGGAGTTCTTGGCGGTGTTAAATACTTCTATTGAGGATACCATTTCAAAATAAAAAAAACTGTAACCAAATTCAGAAACCACATTTTTTTATGTGGTTTCTGAGGTTTTTTTTATGTGGTTTTTTATACTATAACTAATCCACTGTAGTCAAAAATAGAATTATAATTTGAATGGTTAATTTGCAAAAACCAGTTTTCTTCAATAGCTTTTAGGGCATATTGACCCATTTACTCAAACCACTTTTAAATATAATACTAAACCTGAGGGCTAAGGGCCAGCCCTTGAAATTGTTCTTAAAAGCGTTTAAACATTTGAAATGATTTTTTGTTAAAAATACCTTTTTTCTTTGCAATAGCTTTTAGCATTTGACCCTTTACTCAAACCACTTTTCAATAATAGTAATAAATGAGGCTATTGGCTCAGCCTTGAAATTTTTCTTAAAAGCTTAAACATATTTAAAGATTTCTTTTTGTAAAAATACTGTTTTTCTTCATAGCTTTAGGCATTTGGACCCATTATACTAATCCAAACCACTTTTAAATAATAGTAATAAATGAGGCTATTGCTCGAAGGCCCATGAAATTTTTCTTAAAAGCTTACATTTTTAAATGGATTTTTTTTTTGGTTAAAATACCAGTTTTCCTTCAATAGCTTTTAGCATTTACCCATTTACATCCAAACCCACTTTAAATAAACATACTAAATAGGGCTATGGGCTCAGCCTTTGAAATTGGTTTCTTAAAAGCTTTAACTTTTTTAAATGAATTTTTGGTTAAAAATAACCATTTTTTCTTCATACTTTGAGGCATTTTACCCACTTTACTCCCAGAACCTCTTTTAAATTAATATGTTCTCTCCTCAACAACAACAACGAGAGAGAAAAGAGAGAGATACTATTATTTAAAGTGGTTTGGAGGAAATGGGTCAAATGCCCTAAAAGCTATTAAGAAAAACTGGTATTTTAACCAAAAAAATCATTTAAAATTTAAAAGCTTTTAAGAACAAGTTCTAGGCGGAGCCCCATAGCCCTCCATTTAGTACTTGAATGTTTTTTTTGTTTTTTTTTATTAAAAGTGGTTTGGAGTAAATGGTCAAATGCCCTAAAAGCATTGAAGAAAACTGTATGTTTAACCAAACAAAATCAATTTATAAATGTTAAAAGCTTTTAAAAAAATTTAAAGGCTGAGCCCAATAGCCCTCATTTATTATAGTAGTTAAAAGTGTTGGAGTAAAGGTCTATGCCCGAAAAGCTATTGAAGAAAAAACAGGATGTTAACCAAAAAAATTCATTTAAAAATTAAAACCTGTTAAAAAAATTTCAAGGCTGAGCCCAATAGCCCTCAGGTATTACTATTATTTAAAAAAGTGGTTTTGAGTAAATGGTCAAATGCCCTAAAAGCTAATGAAGAAAATCAGTATTTTAAACCAAAAAATCATTTAAAAATGTTAAAATCTTTTAAGAACAATTTCAAGCTGAGCCCCATAGCCCCATAGGTAATATTATTTTAAAAAGTGGTTGGAGTACATGGTAATGCCCTAAAAGTTTTACAATTGAAGAAAAACGTTATTTTTTAGCAAAACATAATTTTAAAAAGCGTTTAAGAAAAATTTCAGGGCTGAGCCATAGCCCCTCATTTAGTACCTGTTATTTAAAAGTGTTTGGAGTAAATGGGTCAAAGCCTAGAAAGCTATTGACGAAAAACTGTTTTTAATTTTTTTTAAAAATTATTTTTATAATTTTATGTTTTATTGTACATTTTAACCAAAAAATCTGTTAAAAATGAAAAGCTGTTGAAAACAATTCAAGGGCTGACCCCATAACCCTCATTATACGTTAATTAAAAAGTGTTTGAGCTAAATGGGTCAAATGCCCTAAACTATGAAGAAAAACTGTATTTTTAACCAAAAAAATCATTTAAAATAAATGTTAAAAGCTTTTAAGAAAAATTTCAAGGCTGACCAATAGCCCTCATTTATTACTATTATGTAAAAGGGTTTGAGTAAATGGTCAATACCCTAAAAGCATTGAAAAAAACTGGTATTGTGAAGCCCAAAAATATTTTTAAAGCTTTAAAAAAATTCAAGGGCTGAGAGCCCCATAAGCCGAGAGGTAAGTACAAAATTGTAAGTTTTTGGTGACTGGGTCAAATGCCCTAAAAGGTATGGAGAAAAACACATACTTTAATATAAAAAAATCCTGAAAAATACACCAAATCTATTAACATAATTTCATTGCCTGAAACCCATACCAAGGTAGTACTAATTTTGAAAGTATTCTGGGTGACGGTCAAATGCCTTAAAAGCTATTGACGGAAAAACCCATACTTCAATCAAAAATCTCATGAAAATACACCAAATCTATTAAGCAAAGTTCATGGCCTAGCACCATTGCTAGATAGTACAAATTTTGTAAAGTGTTTGGGGTGACTGGGTTTCACATAACCAAACCTATTGAAAAAAATTTGTAATTTTTGGTGATTTGTCCTGATTATGATTTCTAAAGTTTCAAAACAGAAAATAGAATAAAAACGTGTGTAAATATATGTACTTTCGGGTGCACATGATTCCGAATTAGGGCTTATGGAAATATACTAGGCTACATCAACAGTAGGTATAAAAACTATAATTATAACTGTGTAGAAAATACACCTAAAGATTACATTTAATCTAGTCTCTTTTCATTAAAATTGTGTAGTGTAGCATAGTATTGATTTACACCGAAACTACATTTTTACAAAGACAGTAATTCATAGACGGTCCGAGCGTAGTCAGCGAATATCCAACGCAACGTAAACCAACTGCACCGCTCACTCAGTCGCTCCTCCGGTCGGCATTGCTCACGCTGTCCGCGCTGATCTCCTCCCCAGTCCCAAATATTTTGAGATTAATCTCGACACATTTGAGATTCTTCTTTAAAATAAGACATACAGACTATAGATAGTCGGCCTCACCTCCACACATGGCTTGGGCTCTGGAACCCAACTCCTTGAGAGGGGTTAGGACGCTCCACTTTTCGTGTGTTTCTCGCGGGGAGAGGCGGCAAGCGGGGGTGGTCATTCTCATGGCCCCCCATCTCAGCCGCCATGTGTTGGAGTTCTCCCCGGTGAATGAGAGGGTCGCGTCCCTCCGCTTACTGGTGGGGGACAAGTCTCTCACTGTTGTGATTAACGGCAGTGCAAGGTACCTGGCCTTCTTGGAGTCCCTGTCCCTCAACGCCAATGTGGGAAATGGCAGTGACACTTGGAGAGGGGTGATCGGGAAGAACGGCCCCCCTCATCTCACCCAGAGCGGTGTTCAGTTGTTGGACTTCTGTGCCAGTCACGGTTTGTCCATCACAAACACCATGTTCCAGCACAAGGGTGTCCACCAGTGCAGGTGGCACCAGGACACCCTAGGCCGGAGGTCGATGATTGACTTTGCCATTGTATCATCTGACCTTCGACCGGGTGTCTCAGACACTCGGGGAGGGAGGCAGAGCTGTCAACCGATTTTTAGAGTTTTTAAACATAATTTCAAGGCCTGAGCCCCATAGCCCTCAGGTAGTACTATTATTTAAAAGTGGTTTGGAGTAAATGGGTCAAATGCCCTAAAAGCTATTGAAGAAAAACTGGTATTTTTAACCAAATAAATCATTTAAAAATGTTAAAAGCTTTTAAGAACAATTTCAAGGGTTGAGCCCCATAGCCCTCATTTAGTACTATTATTTAAAAGGGGTTTGGAGTAAATGGGTCAAATGCCCTAAAAGCTATTGAAGAAAAACTGGTATTTTAACTAAATAAATCATTTACAAATGTTAAAAGCTTTTAAGAACAATTTCAAGGGCTGAGCCCCATAGCCCTCAGGTAGTACTATTATTTAAAAGTGGTTTGGAGTAAATGGGTCAAATGCCCTAAAAGCTATTGGAGAAAAACTGGTATTTTTAACCAAATAAATCATTTAAAAATGTTAAAAGCTTTTAAGAACAATTTCAAGGGCTGAGCCCCATAGCCCTCAGGTAGTACTATTATTTAAAAGTGGTTTGGAGTAAATGGGTCAAATGCCCTAAAAGCTATTGAAGAAAAACAGGTATTTTTAACCAAAAAAAATCATTTAAAAATGTTAAAAGCTTTTAAGAACAATTTCAAGGGCTGAGCCCAATAGCCCTCATTTATTACTATTATTTAAAAGTGGTTTGGAGTAAATGGGTCAAATGCCCTAAAAGCTATTAAAGAAAAACTGGTATTTTTAGGCACAAAAATAATTTTAAAAGCTTTTAAGAA